TTTTTTTTTTTTTTTTTTTTTTTTTTTTTTTTTTTTTTTTTTTTTTTTTACGTTACTTGTTCTTCTTGCTAACTATATAGTAGAAACCAAGTCCTCGCAATATGAAAATACCAACGATTAATCTAGTTGGCCAAATTCAAATGGACGTCTATTCCCTTCTTTGTAGAAGTTTAAACAAATTTTTTTTCTTTTCAATAGTCTACGAAAATAATTAAATTTATTATAAATGTCGAAGAAGCTGATAATATGAATTTGAAATCTCTTCTATGAAATCCATTAATATATAGATATTGTATGGCCATGCTGATTTTTTTCGCCTCGCCATGTTGATGTTTCATTTATAACTTCAAAATGTTACTTTTACCGAATATGACCTGGCAGACATCAGGTATGGTCTAATTAAGGACCATATTGTTTTAATTAGTTCCACGGAAATCAATCTTGAGATGGACATATTGATCTCTAAAATGTAAATTACTAGCCGATCTATATATCTAATTCTAATGTGTTTGCTTTGAGTGCGTACAGGGAAGAACTCATGGCCAGAGCTTTTGGGAACAAATGGAGACTATGCGGCTTCCGTGATAGAAAGAGAGAACTCGAGAGTCGATGCAATGGTGATCTTGGATGGAACTCCAGTGACTGGAGACTTCAGGTGCGACCGGGTCAGGGTTAGGGTGAATAGAAACCGTACCGTTGTCCAGGTCCCTACGATCGGCTAGACTTGTCTTGTTTACCGACCATGCTGCTCCTATGTCTATTTAATATCAGTAAACTAAAACTATATATGCAATTTCTCGTTTACATAAATAGTTTGGGTTTTCGTTACTCGAATGGTTACCATTGTTCAATGTTATAAATAAATGTCTGTATAACGTAATGTTACAAGTGAATAAAATTCATGTTTTATCTAGTACCTATTTGTTTCAAATTTTTATTTTATAACTTGTTGATGATGAAATATTCATATAGTTAAATTTTATTTATATATTTTCAATAGTTTCACAAACTAAATATGATAAAACAATCCTTGGTATTCTCGATCTACACATGATTCATTTTTATAGTATTTCGGTGTTTATCTGATTTTCTTTCATATTTTCTCTCATTTCACTTTTGTAAAACTATCTCTTGTAACTTCATGTTTTTACTTTTTGTTTCATATTTTTATTTCAATTATATTTTTTTTCTTTTTTTTTAATTTTAAAGAACGGAACAATATTTGTATAAAATTTTAAAATATTCTTTAACCACATATGGTAACACATCAACATTATTTTTATGATATAGTATTTACATTATAGAATAATTTGCATTTTAGAAAAATAATTATCTTTAAAATTATTATATGCATGGTATATGACGCTTCCTAATCATAAAAAAATATAAGGTGAGTTCAGTGTTTTTTGTTTTTTGAGAATTAGCAATTTTGGTGTTTGTTCGCCTAAATATTACTTTGTCCCAAAGTTACATCTATTAAGTTACTCTCAACTCTACTCTAGTTTATTTCCAAGTGTTGCTGAGCTTTGAGATGAAAGAAAGGAAAACATGAGGAAAGAAGATGAATTGATCAAAAGAAAGGATCTATATGTATAAGCGTTCTTGTGAGTTGTGAAAAAATCACAAAATATAAAATGTAAATGTAGACAGAATCATCGGGAGTATGTTGTTTCAATATTATTATATATGCTTTTGAAACATTATCTTGCTGCGATCGGTATGTCTAGGTAGAAGAAAATTTTAAAAATCAAATTACTTGTAAGAGCATCAATCCTGATAAGCTTGAATACCGACTAAAATATATACTAAATCTATACGAAATCGTGCCAAATGAGTATATGTCAAAGAAGTATATATAGTTAAATTTTATTTTACTTTGAATATGCAAACGCCCATCGACTACATATAGACGTCTCTGATTCTATAAATTGGACTCAACTCGTAAAGACGAGCAAAATGTCGTCTAAATGTCCTGGTAATGTTTCTTAATTGTATACAATTTGAATTTGTTTGTTTCGGATCAGTTTTTGATTCCAAAGTTGTAGCTTGATTTTAGTATTTTTCTTATAACAGTGGCACTTGATGTAAAATCGTTTTGTTTGAATAAAATTTTACATTCATTCAAAAAAAAAAAAAAAATTGTATACAATTTGATATTGTTTTCTTGATGTTTTTGTTACAAAATTCAAAAGTTCTTATTCGCCGAAACATGACCTGAGAGGCATGGACCGCATGCATAATCTAACGGCATATTTGTTTTAATCAATTCCATGGAAATCTTGTGATGGGCTTATTGATCTCTAAAATATCAAATGTAAATTACTAACCAATATATCCACTGTGGTTGCTTTGAGTGCATGCAGGGAAGACCTCATGGCCAGAGCTTGTGGGAACAAATGGAGACTATGCCGCTTCGGTGATCGAAAGTCAGAACTTGAGAGTCAAAACAGTCGTGATTTTGGATGGGTCTCCGGTGACTGCAGACTTCAGGTGCGACCGGGTCTGGGTCAAGGTTGATAAAGAAATTGACGGTATAACCCCTACCGTCGGTTAGACTTGTATACGGACCAGCGCGCGCTGTTACTATTTTTATTTAATACTATGAATAAAATACTATGTACAATGCATATTTGATTGTTGGTTTGGTTATGAATCTATGATGTAAGTAAGTAAGTAACCCTTTGCGTGGATTATTTCCGCTTTCGTTACCTGAACGGTTGCTGATGTCCAGAGTTACAAATAAATGTTTGTATAAAGGTAATGGTTGCGAGTGAATTAATATTCATGTCCTGCTTATTACTTAAGAAAGCTATGCATCAGCTAGCATTGAATTTATATAAGATCATCTTATATTGCTTCATATTCTAACTATCATATAAAATAGATATTGATTTGTCGTTTTTTTAACAGCTAATGAAGAACGAAATAGTACTGTGGACTATTTCAAGCTTTTTTAAGAAAAAAATCCCGTACCTGGATAAATGAAAGCAGACCTTATGAAACACAAATTTTAGAAAAAGGTCGGTATGACTAACAAAATGTTTCAAGTTTTATATGTTTTGCTTGTTGTATGTGTCAAAATGCATGCAACTGCAACCTTTAGCAAATGTAATAAAACCAGTCTACCATTTATAAAGAAAGAATCACGGATTAGTACTTGCATGTATCCGGTAACGGATTCTTTATAATCGAAGGTTACTAAGTTATCAACAATGACTATTTTTGGGAGTGGGCATGCCTGCCCTACACAGGAGATTCCTCCAACATGGACTCTGCCATTACTGCCCTCTCCTCCATCTCCCCAAGCCCAGCAACAGCTTCCTCATATTTGTCCTAACACCATTTTCGTTATCCAAATACATATATAAGTTCATTTTGCCCTCTCTCGTGTACACTAACAACACATACATACATACATACATACATGCCAAGATGACATCTCCATTAGACCAAACACATGCAACGTTAACCGTTTAATGTAAAATTCTCACATACGTGATTTTTTCCAAATCTGATCTCGGTGTGTGTATATACTATATTATTACAGAATTTTTGACCAAAAATATATGTTTTTAGTTAGATAATATATTTGTGTTATTTTCTTTTTATGAATATAGAGTGCAATTTCCTTTTTTTTTATTTATCCATGAAAGATGTTAACATGAAGATCAAATTTCTAAGAGATTGCTCCGGAAAACAAAAGATACTAAATAAATAATACACCCAAAAAACATAATTAGATAAGCACAAAGGTTGAAAGAAGTTTAGCCAGGACACTCATGACTTGTCGTTATTTATCCAACTCGAGAACGGGACTATACACAACAGTCTCCCAAGTCCCAATGATGAAATGCCATTGGGTTGTAGAAAAGAGATTATACTATCCAGAACATCTTTGTGCGCAACCAAGTGGTCTTGGCCTAGTGGTAAAAAACTTGGTTTTGGCCTAGTGGTAAAGAACTTATAGCTGTGAGTACCGCCCTGGATTTGATTTCCTTTGGCCACTTGGAGCACCTTAAGTGGTAAGAAAACACGGATCCTGCAGGCCTCGTAGTTATTAGTCTTTGGGATCACACTACGGTTATTAAAAAAAAAAAATCCTTGTGTATGTATCCAAGAATATAAAGAATATCCATGGCCCCGCCATTTTTACAAAATGAACTTTATATTGAACCTTCCCACCACCACCATTATTAGAGAGAACCCAACCTGTCAGTTTGATTCCCCTTGGCCACCTGGAGCTAGGGCTGGGTTGCGGGTCAAACCCGCCCCGCTGACCCGCCAACCCACGGATTTTAGTTATTTTTTTTGTCAAAAAATTCGACCCGCACAACCCGCAAACGTATAAATTTACACCCGCAGCCGCCCCGCTTAATTTTGCGGGTAACCCGCGGGACCCGCGGGTTATATATATATATATTTTAATAAATAATTATTTAATTTATTTTTTATGAAAAAGTAATAAAAATAATATATTTATAATAAAATTATATATTTTAATTTTTTTAAGTATTTTTTTTTTAAACACGGTATTTTTAAAAAAAAAATATTTATTTTCCAAAAAAAAACTATTTTCTAACAAAAAAACACAATTTAAAAAAAAATGAAATTTTTTTTTTGCGGGTTGGCGGGTACCCGCGATTCAAAAAACTCCAACCCGCACCCGCCCCGCATAAAATATTCATAACCCGCACCCGCCAATCGATTTTTTCAAATTGTTCAACCCACACCCGCCCCGCAGCGGGTAAAACGGGGCGGGACCCGCGGGTAATGAATCATATTCCCAGCTCTACCTGGAGCATTTTAAGTGGTAAGAAAATGCAGATCCTGCAGGCCTCGTAGTGATTAGTATTTGGGCTTGGAAAGCCTTTGGGATCACACTACGGTCATAGAAAAAATATCCTTGTGTATGTATCCAAGAATATAAAGAATATCCATGGTCCCGCCATTTTTACAAAATGAACTTTATATTGAACCGTCCCACCACCACCATTATTAGAGAGAACCCAACCTGTCAATTGAACAACCTGTTATTGTATTCTTTGATGAACAATGATCGTGCCTTCCCCATCATCTGCACACATGCAATGTTAACTATTTAATGTAAAATTCTCACATACGTGTTTTTTTTTTAAATCTGATCTCGGTGTGTGTATATTATTACCTCGGTTAATCTCTGTTCATAGTTTTGTTTCGTTGGACCGACACATTGTTTTTCAAAACTTTGACTGCAGCACATGAAACATGCATTGAATTTAGCCATGGGAGAGAGTCAGAGAGCTTGTACGTGGTCCATGTCGTTTTCACACTTTCTATATTGCGTCTCACAAAATTTTGACGATTGGTTTTTTTAAGTATATATCGAGAAATATTTTAAATATATTAAAAATAACCAATTTAAATTCTTTTTATCTATAAAAAAGTAAAAATTTTGAAAAAAAGTTTTGGTCAAATTAGATCCTTTTATATTGGAATTTTAGAAGATACATAACTTAAATTAGACATGTTTCAATTTTTTATTCATCTATAAATATACTTCTCTTTCTTTGTAATTTTAAAACACCTTTAGTTCATTATCTAAGATGACAAATGTTTTTCAAGCTTCAGTTATTGGTCTCTTTATGGTCACTGCAGTTCTTTTGCACGGTTTGTATTTATATTTACAATTTAATTTGTTATTATATTCAATCATCATTTAAAATTAAAGTTATTCTGATATCTTATTATTTTGTGTACTGATATAATTTTTATATCGAATTCTATAATGTTGGATTTAGAAAGTTTTGTAGAATAATCAATGATTAAAAAAGAAAATGTTCATACTTTAAGTTTTCTTTCCCTATAAATATGCAAAAAAAACTCTCTAAATATATGTTTTATCAAAAATATTAATTTTCTATTTAAATACAAAGACTAAAGTTATGTTTTAACTATTATAATAACAGGAGTACAGACGGTTGCTGGGAAAGGAGGACCACCACCACATAAAAAACAGTCTTGTCTAGAAAAATACTCCAAACCGAAAAATGTAAAATGTATTAAGGCCGATTGTGAAGCTGAATGTGCCAGAAAAAGGAATGGCACTGGTTATTGCGCGGGCCAAGAAATTTGCTACTGCGTCTTTGGTAGAGATAAACTTGGATTTTGTCCTTGATATTGTTATCTATATTGCAACTTAAATAATATTTATAATAATACACGCCTTTATCAAAAGAAAATAATATTAATATTATTAATTAGTTAGTGTTTGTGGCAACGTAAAATGTATTATGCTACCAAATATAAATAAAAATAACAAATATTAATATGTCATTCGTCTTGTACCTTTTTTTTTCTTATCCATGAAAGATGTCAACATTCTTTTGGAAGATCAAATTTCTAGAAGATTGTTCTTATAAACAAAAGATACTAAAATAAATAATACAACAATAAATCAGTTCCTTTCACGCGTTTGTCAATGCTCTATTCCAAAGATATTAATATATATATAGCTTAACTGATGACATGAATTATCAAACAAAAAAAAAAATTGATGAGATGGTGATATGGATATATTAATTATATAGTGAGGTTTCTTTGTTGATCCTGGTCCACCATCCTCTGTTGATTGATCCTCATCATTAGGAAGTCTGACTTTTATGAGGGACTGATCATGACCGGCAAATATTCTTGCTTTACTTTCCTGAAGAGTTTTTTTTTTTGGTCAGAAAACAAATGGAGTTGTAAAGTAATCACTGTGACTCGATCATCTCTTCAGAATAATAATCACTGAAGTAATCATCAATGATTCCTATCAGCGACAGAAGTAATGCTTAGTTAGCTTACACATTAATAACAAGAAGATATAAGAAAAGAAAAAAACACAAACTTCACACATTACCAAGGAGATTGGATTTATATAGACAGACAATATTATAAAGTTGCAGAGTAGTTTCTGAAGATACCAAAAAGCATTCTCTTCGAGCATCAGAAGTAATAAAAGTCCAGCAAAGAAATTCATAGCCTGCACACGATTTTTTTGTATAAGATAATAAATACAACTGAAGATGTTCATTTTTGTCACCGGACTAGAATATACCTGACAGTATCCCACAGAGGGGTTATGCCTAGCGTATGCAGTTAGCAATCGCCTCAGAGCGTTTCTGCCGTCATCATCTAGGGCAGGATGACCTGGAAATGTCCGGGGTAAATCCTGTACTTGGAAACAACCAACGACTTGAGTATAAAAGAACCACAGTAGGATATAATATATAGTTGCTAACCTTCTCTATCTGTCCTTTCCATTTTTCCACAACAGCGAGTGGGTCTGCACTTAAACCCGCCGTTTCTTAACCCCCGCAAATGCTTGCCAGAGCTGGAAAATTTGTAATAGTTAATAACGAGAAATAAATAATCTATGACAAGAGTAGAGAATGAATAGGTGTATTACCTCACCCCTCAGAGCCATAGGTGCACCACCTCGAACAAGTAGTTCAAGTTCTTTCTCCACATCATAGAACTCCTCTTCAGAATCATTCCCATTTACTCTCTTTGAAGACTTCAATTTCGGAGCTTCTTGCTCGCCATCGCCATCGCCATCGCCATCGCCATTGCCATCTTTCTTTTTAACACGGACACTCATCAAGTCCTCAATGGCTCGAAGAGATGGTCTGATCTCAGTCCATATCTGAAACCTGACCACTCTCTTCTCATCTTCCTCTACAACATTTCCTTGAGTTGAAGCAGGACCTGGCTTGTCACTATGGAGATGTTTTTCCTCAGCGTACTTATTATCACTTTCAGTACTTGGATTAATTTCAGATGATCCATTCACAGGTGAGAGGTCAGATTGTGCATGATCTTCCAGGAAACTGTTCCACCTGTCCGACCTCTCCTCTTCTTCCTCCTGCGTTTTATCAGCAAGATTTAAGGTGTGAAACATTATATGACATAATGAGCTTCCCTTTTTTTTTTTATATATATATATATCTCAACCATTTGATCAGCGCCATTATTAAGGCTTGAAGTTCTAATGTTAATATCTTACACAGCTTCTGATATGAAAGCAACAAAGTCTTAAGACAAACCAAACCTTTTTTTTTATGAAATGACAAAACCTGACTAGAAAATTAAAAAAAAAGAAGAAGGTATATTTGGAGATACAAAACCTTGTAGATTTTAACATATTGTCGGTATCTTTGCACATGATGAGGCCTCACAGAAAATCCATAAGCATCCCTGTTTAGTAAAAACCAAACTATATCAGTACTGCAAAATATTTAAGACAAGATCCATTGAGACAAAGACTCTCTCTCTTTATCTGACCCAACACATAGAAGAGATTAAAACCAGAAACAATAAACTAATCAAGATCAACTAGATGGTTATCATAAGCTTTCACGGGAAACCTTGGAATGTGATAAAAATCAGAAACATATGGAAAATCGAAGAAGTAAGCAATGTAGCTTATGGAGAAGAAGCGATACCTTTTGTGGTCAGATGCGAAGAGAGGGTCGGCGTCGGTGATCATCGTTACTGAGCTCGAACGATGAGAGTTGGAAGATCCGGTCGAGTAGTAAAGCTAGGCTACTTGCTTGATCATCATTTCATTACGCGATCAAGTTTGAGGATGAAGATAACAAGTCTTTTTTTACAGTGTAAAGAACTCAAACAGAGAGAGAGAGAAAGAAAAAAAGCCAAGATTTTTTTTAATTTTTTCTGTAGTCAAATATAATTTCAAATTCATTAAGAAAATAATTAAAAACTAGAGGTGGTACTAGACTTAAAAGCAATATTTTAGGGGAAAATATAGGTTTATTTAGAATGGGTTGTAATCAACTATTTACATTTCATATGATGTTTAAAAAAAAAGCATTTTCTTCTTTTACTATCTAGATACTAGAGTATATGATCATTTCCAACTCATCTTTGTATTTTCCCACAAGCAAGGCAAGTTCTATAATTAGCATTAAAAAACATTGTCACAAAAATAATACACAAGAAAAATACTCAAATTATCATTCATTAAGAAAAAAAAGTAAATTACTACAAACCCAAAATTTCAATTCTAGGCCTACCTTTTAAATACCAAACTTTGAATATAATCAATAAACCTTATGATCCAAATACGAAATAGACACTTATTGTATTATTTATTATTTACAATGAACATAAATGAAAATTAAGCTAAAAAATTTCAGAAATTGGTGGGATTATCCCTAAAGATACCTCATATTTGTCATTTACCTTTTCAAAATAGAAACTATTTCGATCATTATATCCTTATCTCATTCTCTCTCCTCTCTCTTCTTTTCCCTATCTTCTGAACTCTTTATTTCTCACACATGTCATGTTTATGTTTTCATTTTTTCGTCATAAATCTCTATTTTTTACTCTGATTCTTTTGACACCCATATTACTAATGTTATTATCTCACATTGATTCTATTATTTTCAATTTTAAATCTTGAAATATACATTCTTTTATTTAGATAATATGTAAGTTAACATATATTTCATTATTTACCCGTTATTATTATATTTTAATAAAATTGCAACCAATACATAGAGTGTTAGCGGTTTACAAATAGATTTGTGGCTATTTGATAGATAATTGATTAGAGGTTAATATATGTATTTTTATGATACTAGTATTGTTAACACGCTAACCTGTTTTGTTAGCGATTTGTTTAACACGTTAATAAATAGACACGTAATCCAATAACAAAATTTGTACTATGTTAAAGTTTTGTTAATTTGCTAACTATTTTTATATCATGTTAAAAATATATTAACTCGCTAACAAATTTTATATAACGGAATAAGGTAATTTTGTCCATTCAAATTATAAAAATTACCATATTTTGCTTTTACGTCATATCATATCATGGGTATTCTACTAATTATGGTCATAAATGAGGGTATTGGGCAAATTAATCCAAAAAGCTTTCATGGTAAAATTTATGATTTCATTAAGAGAGAGAGAAAGAAGAGAAGAAGATAAACCGGTTATCTATTTACAATTAACAACTAAACCATAGTAATAAAGCTAACGACATGTCTCTTGTATGGGGTTTGGGCTAGTAAGAAAGAATATTTGTTTAGGCCTTATTTAGACAAAAAGCCCACTTGTTCAGCTTTTTTTTTGTCGTGAAATTTCTTCTATAATTGATTCAACTTCCATCTTCTTCTCCATGGTTACTGACTGTACCTTCTATTGCTATCATTGGTAGAGAGGTAAGATATTTTGATTGTATTCTCCTAAATATATATTCTTCACTTGAAGAGTAAGTGACGTGTTCTTGACTGTATGTAGATTACAATGTCTGCAGTAAGCGAATGGGCTGCATCTCAAAATGGAAAAGCTTTTAGAGGTAAAGTTAGACCACCAACAATCTATCTCTTGTATTGTAGTATGTAAGAGCTCTTTTTTTGGTTTTGTTTCTGCTCACAGGCTGTTGCAGTAAACAACTTGGGAAAGTGGAAAACCGCCACGCAGAGGACAGCACTAACCATACTTCTTGCAAGCCGGGATAGCAGTGTTGGATGGCTCGTAGCTTCTCGTGCTGGATTGCTATCGGTTTTGGTCTTTAGTTGTTTATATGAGGAAGATATCAAAAGTACTACTGAAGCAGGTCGTAATCTATCTATCGCTTTTGTTTTGCTTTAACATCCATTTGGATATACACGCACGCATTGATGGAGAGTGTCTCAGTCATGGCCTGTACAGAGAGCACAAAACTAGAATATGCATTTTAGCAGTAATCTTGTGAGGAAGTGATTGAACCGTAGGTAGAAAGGAAGCACTTGTACTAGTTTGAGAATGTGTTAGATGGTTTTTGCTTTGCTTTGCTCTGCTCTGATCTTTCCCAACACGTTATAAAGTATGGAGTGGTCTTGGTTTAAAAAATTCTTGTGTGATGTTTTTCTTACAAAAACTTTTTAGTGTTTGTTCTTTATTAAAAGAGAATTAAAGATTTACACAGAATATGGGCAATTTTCTCTGACAAAATTATTAGGGTTTGTTCTTTAGTAAAAGAATCAATAAAGACTACACAAAGTATATGTAAATTATATTTTAAGGGTCTCAAAAGAAACAAGAATAGCAAAAATTATAAAAGAGTTTATTCATAAAGAGAAACACATGTCAATCTCTTCATTGAGATATATTTATTCACAAAGGGGAAACACACACACACCAATCTCTTACTGAACTGCTAGACTGGCCTGGAAATGGGTTCGATACTGTAGATAACATCGGCTGTAGCTCGTCCATGAAACCCTGTGATCTTGTGGCCTTTCTCCTCAATAGAATACTTCTCACCTGAATCCAATCCATACAGAGGTGTCTCCCTTTTGTTCGTCTTGAACTTAATAGACACAATCTTTCCAAATAGTGCACCAGCTATAGGTCTATAGTAGCCTTCTATGCCGGTCAGATACTCACCATTCTCAAGCACAATCTGCAAAGGCTCAAAGGTATAGCAAGTGTAAATAATAGGGAGAGAAGTATTATTTGAAACAAAAACTCTTGTTGTTGGCTTTAGAAAAAAAATATGACCTCTTCAGCTCCAAGTGAAGTTATCTTCCCATGGTCATCACCAGTTACAAGGCCATTGCCTTTAATGTACACAAACTTGACAAAGGCTATACCTTCCTCATAGAGTCCTATTTTTATCTTCTTCACACCATCGTAGATACCATAATCACCCCATGAATCTCCTATCACTGGAGGGGGAATGGGGATAGGAATGTGTTCAAAGTAAGCTCCAAGAGCATCAATAGCTTCACCTTCCTTTCCATGGAATCCAACAAGCCTAGGCCCACCTAGCACAAACTTCTTACCCGCTTCATACCCAAAAGTTGCTGATCTTCCCGTTGTTGTTTCAAACTTAAGTGAGGTAATGACGGTATTGCGGAAAAGCTTCGGGTTATCATAGGTTACTTCCACCAATTTGATGTCTTCATTCGGGAAATTAACCACAAACTGCAACAAGAAGCAAAAATTCAAGAAGATTTTGTTGGAATAAATCCAAATACATGGATCTAACTACTATGGACTCTTTCCTAAGATTCCAACTTAAAACTAATCGACAATAAATATTTTTTTTTCAAAATTATTTATATATCATTTAAAAAAAAAAAATTCGTTATGAGAGGTCTTAAAGAGATACTTCATTCCCACGAATAATATATTATATTAATCACCTTTCCAAACTAACAACTATGTGGATTTTCTGAACTGCTAATCATCAACTATTTGGTACTAAATTTCTTGTGTTATACAATCCACATATAAACCAAAATTTACATCTGACATGACTTATAACTTAATTTTTTGAGAATTTATTAGGTCAATATACAAGACAATAGAAAATACCTCAGAATGTGTTTCTCCTTTCACCCCATGGTGTCGTGTCTCTAACCTCATAGCTTTCACGTACTCAAACTCCAAATAGGTGATACGACAATCATCTTGACCAACACGCACTGTCCTAACACCATCAAAACAACCATCGTCCCATACACTCCCCTCTTTACCACCTTGGGCTTCCAGCTTGTAAATAGGGAAAGGAGTGGTCAGAGAGTCTAGTTCAAGGTAAACTCCAAGAGCGTCGATAGCATTATCCGACCGTCCATGAAAACCTACGATCTTCTTTCCTTCCTCCTCCAACTTAAACTTTGTACCACTGACAACTCCGAACAAGTTTGGACCAAACGTTGGAGAGGTTCTACCCTTTGAAGTCTTGAAGACAAGGGACGTGATCACCTCTGTGGCTATTAGAGCCACTTTGTTGTAGCTTCCCTCCACTGCTGTGATGTGTTCATCCGGATATTCAATTATAAACTGCACTTGAAAATGTTATTCGTTCAATCAAGAAATTAAAGAAAAACTAAGAATGTGAAAAAGGGAGGGTAAATGTAGTAAAGAACCTCTCTAGGGTCTTGAGTTATTGTCCCATATTCACGTGTTATAACTTCGCCGTCTTCCTTCACGTATTCGAATTTGATGTAAGTGATACGTGAGAGATCTTGCCCAACATACACTTTCTTTACTCCCTCGTGTACACCGTCGTCCCATTCACGCCCACCTTCACCACCGCAAAGAGCCATCTTCTGATACATCCTCGCCATTTCGAATCTTCAAATTCTGTAATAAAATGAGGAAGATGGATTATTATATTGAATTAATGTTTTAGAAAATTTTAAATCTGATTTAAATAATAATAATAATTCTAAAACTTATTTAAGAACCTCTACTAATGCTACCAATTTAAACATACACAAATGAAATCATACATACTGAGAAAAAAAAAGTATACCAAGCTTTTTTTGGTAGAACAGTAATATTATGATAACATTGTAGCATATTCTAATAGATAGCAAGAACACCAAAACGGTCCAAGAATCACATATAGAGTAATCAACTAAAGGATAAAATTTATATAGAGTGTGATTTTCTAAGCGTATTAACGATGAAACTGAATAATAATATCGAACAAAAGCCCCCACATAGTTGACTGAAAACGCATATTCACAGTTAGATATAACACCATATCCCAAAGGCTAAACACATTAATCTATCTTCTTCATTCAAAAAAGAAAACACATTCACTGACTTCTCACTATTTGTTGAGATATCATGCACTAAACACTCCTCCACTCCTCTTAAATTTTATGTACGTGAAACGATCTCAACATATACAATGATATTCTTGTAAATGTTTTACACAGGTAAGGTTATGTGTAGTTAATTATTAGTAGAAGATATGATTAATGGTATTTGATGTTAATGGTAATCATAAGCGGGCAACCAAAAATGGGAAAAAAGAGAGAGAATGTAGTAGTTACATGAAGAACAAAAAATAAAGAGAGAGAGATCACCGGTAAATTCTTGAGATCTGACTGAGAATGAAGGCGATGAACCTTATGGTTGATGACATGTGTGTATTTATTGACGCTTCTCGTGATTTGCAACCAACACATGTGTAACATCCATGGAAAGATTTAAGAGGATTGTTATGTCTGTCTATGTTACCAAAGTGTATTTATCTTTTCGGGAGCACATCTAAAAAGAACTATAGAGTTAAACGTGTTTAAGCTGTTGTAGTCAAAGGATGAGTGACATATCGGAAAGTGATTTATGATATCATGTAAGTGAGACCAAAGCACGGGGAAAGGTTAGATAGTGATTGCAGGGATAGTAAACAATGATTTGGAATATTAGAAAATTAACGAACCGGCCGTGGAATAGAATGGGACTCACAGGACTAGAGAACAGACGTGGATGGCCCATTAACTGTCAACGTACGGGGCATTATAACATGTTTCACGACTCACTAAGGACTGTCAACAATTGCAATAATTGTTTTTTGATAGGAGTCCATAACAAGCACAATATATTGAAATGTGTGTGTGTAAATTCTTGAGATCTCATTGAGAATGAAAGGCAAATGAACCCTGAACCTTATCTTCTCGTGAATTGCAACCACCACATGGTTCACGATTACGCAGGACTGTGACAATTACAATAATTTCTTTAGATAATAGTCCATATCTAAAACCAGCTCAATATATTGCTTTAATAAATATAATTTATAATACCAATATGAACAAAAAGTTTAATTTTACTGAATAATTTATCCACATAAAATACTAATATAAAGAAAAATATTCTTTGTAATTGTGTTATGAAGATGTGTTTTATAACAAATAATATTGTTTTTCAACAAACAATATATAAATAAATATATATATATATATATATAACAGATAATATTGTTATATATATAAATTGCTACATGATAGTGATAAAATGGTTTGTAATTATGTACTATGATCTATCGGGATGATTTGCGATATCGTGTAATTGAGGTTAAAGTACGGAGAAAAGTCATGTAGTGATTGCAGGGACAGTAAATAATGATTTGAAGTCTTGGAAAATTAACGAACCGACCGTTGGATTGGGATGGGCTCACATGCCGAAAGAACGGACGTGGATGACCCATTAATCATAAACGGTCGGAACGTTATAACATGTTTCACGACTCACTAAAGACTGTCAACAATTGCAATAATTGTTTTTTTGACTCTTCTCGTGAATTGCAACCACCACATGGTTCACAATTACGCAGGACTGTGACAATTACAATAATTTCTTTAGATAAGAGTCCATACTCCAAAAGCAGCTCAATATATTGCTTTAATAAAATATAATTTATAATATAAATAAGAACAAAAAGTTTAATTTTAATGAATAATTTATCTACATAAAATACTAAGATAAAGAAAAATATTCTTTGTAATTGTGTTATGAAGATTTGTTTTATAACAAATAACTAGATTTTGATCCGCGCTTTTAAAGCACAGATTTATGTTTAATGCAAACTTTATATAATCGCATTTCCTATACATGTAGAAATGTGGGATAAATTTATTTAGTTCTTTAATTTCATCAAACATAGCCTTTTTAAAAATGTAGGATAATCTTTCGGGAAAAAATTTATATAACTGCATTTTTGTTTTATATAACGTAGACATGTGCATAAAATCCATAACTCGACGTCTAAACTCAATCTAAACAAAAAAAATTAGATCTGTTAACCGGTCAAAAATCTACGATATATCAGAAGGAGTTTTGTAGAGTGGTATAAAATATATCAAAATCAAAGTGTTATTAGTTAGACCCGAACGAATAACTCAAAAACCAAAAAAATCTAGAAAAAAATCTGAATGTCCAAATTAATCATAAATATAAATTTTTGAAACATAAATATCTAGTTTAAATTATCAGTTCTATATTTATTTTAAAATTATATTTATAATTAATTATCTAAATTTTAATTAAGTACTTTAATATCCAATTCTATAAAAATAAATATCTTTCTTTTGTTTTGGTTTTAGATTTTAGATTGCTAAACCAATATAACCAAAATCTACTATTGTTTCTTTTGGTTAAGAACCAACTTAATTAAGCTCTAGTTGGTTTTGTTTCCTGATCCTCTAGCTAGTCCAATAATCGTTAGACGAAATGGTCCTGAAATTTTCTAATATACTTTTAATGTATCGAATGAGAACAGTACCATACGTGTTATCTTTTCGTGGACGCGGTAAGAAGTAATAACGTACGTAGATATAAAAGTAGTTGACGAATAATGATACAAGTTTGTGGAAATATATTAATTGAGGGGATGAAAAAGTCACGGCATATGGAACACAACATTTTGGCTTGCCTATGCTAGGTTCATGATGTTAAATAAAATTTGGACTTTCTTGAGAAGTAACTGAAGAAGAAAGAAAGAAAGAAAGAAAGAAAGAAAGAAAGAAAGAAAGAAAGAAAGAAAGTGGTGGGGAGAGATGAAAAGGGTAGAGAAGATTTACCAAACCTTACCGTTCTTCCTAGTATTGATTCTGTTTCATCGGGTCCTTTCGATCAACGTCAACAGTAGTACGTTGTCGTCTTCAGAGTCTCTCACAATCTCAAGCGAAAGAACACTTGTATCTCCCGGTGGAGTCTTTGAGCTTGGTTTCTTCAAACCCTCGGAACGTTCACGTTGGTATCTTGGAATATGGTATAAGAAAGTCACTGAGAATACCTACGCAACAGAGACAACCCTCTCTCAACTTCCACAGGAAGCCTAGAAATCTCTGGAAGCAACCTTGTCCTGCTAGATAATCAGTCTAATAAAACTGTTTGGTCTACGCATCGATATCTCACTAGCAAAAGAAATGGACATCACCCACCCGTGATAGCAGAGCTTCTCCCCAACGGAAACTTTGTTTTGAGACTCTCCGACAACAACAACGACTCAAGTAGTGGATTCTTGTGGCAAAGTTTCGATTACCCAACAGATACTTTGCTTCCAGGGATGAAACTAGGTCACGATCTCAAAACAGGTCGCAACAGGTTCCTCACATCATGGAGAGCTGACAATGATCCGTCAAGCGGGAATTTCATATTCAAAATCGATATTCAGAGGGGATTGCCAGAGTTCTTAGTTATGAATCAAGGTTTTATATGGCATAGAAGCAGTCATTGGGATGGTTTTATTGGCATACCGGGGTTACTAGGATCATATAACATTGATTATAATTATACGGAGACAAGCGAGGAGGTGACTTACCGCTTGGTAATGACCAATCAAAGCATCTTCTCCAGATTGATAATGAGAGATAACTGGAGGCTCATGCTATTCACGTGGGCTCCGCCATTATGGGCATGGGAGCGGTCGTCCTTCAATTATTTATCCACGGAACTCTGCGATATTTACTCTGTATGTGTTGGGCCTAATACTTATTGTGACCAAAACACGCCGTCGCCGTCACATTACTGTAACTGTATTACAGGGTTCGTTCCAAACAACGAAAGCGAATGGAGAGATCGGAACTTGGTAAGCCGTCCTTCGGGGTGTGTTAGGAAGACGCCGCTTAACTGTGGAGAATATCATAATATTGGGTTTTTGCAGCTAAACAATACCAATTTGCCGGATACTAAGACGGCGACTGTGGATCGGAGAATTGATGTGAATACATGCAGAGACAAGTGCCTTACCGATTGTAACTGTACGTCGTTTACGTTTGGAAACGATGGACTGGGTTGTGTGACTTGGACCGGAGGGATCTTTGATGTCCGGACTTACGTCGAATCTGGTCATGTTCTTAATATAAAACTGTCACTTAACGATCCAGGTAAGTACGTACTATATATAATTAATCTCTTCTTCACAGAATACAAGTTCGTCTTTCGAGTTAACTGGTCATTCTTAATACCTTTTCCATTTTCTTATCTCAGCTTTTTCCTCTAGTGGTGTCCCAGCTGGAAAAATCATAGGTTGGAGTATTGGAGCCGGCGTTATGCTTACTCTCACTCTTATCCTCTTCTGCTTTTGGAAGAGGAGACAAAAGCAAGGAAAAGCACATGCAACACCTATTGGTAATATATAAAATATATATGAGTATTTACTTTGTTTTTTTTTCTAAATATATTCTTAATTTTGTGAATTCTTCTTCTATGTTTTCAATACTTTGTAATGTTCTCTATACAGTCTCTCAACTGGGAAACCAACTTGTTGTGAACGAGCTGGTCTTACCAACAAATCATCTCCATATGTCTGAAGAGGGCCGACTAGAACATTCCCAACTTCCTCTTATCGAGTTTGAAGCTGTTGTCACAGCCACCGAACATTTCGCTGACAAAAACAAGCTCGGCCGAGGTGGTTTTGGTGTTGTTTACAAGGTATAAATAAATGAATATATACGATCTATCACCGTGTTCGCGGTTAAGACTTTTTAATACTATAAGCGAAATAACATATTAGTCCACAAAAGTCCAATAACTAAACATTTACATTGACAACTAAACATTTACAATGAGTAAACACAACTTATAGAAAAACAAAAAGAAACCGATTTTTAGTACGTCAAGTGTTTACCAAAAAACTACAGTAATGTAAATATATAAAAAAAAATTAAACTATGACTTACAAAATGTCGTACTTTATATAAACTATGTAGATTAATTTTCAAAAAATAAATATAAACGATAAAAAACTGATTATCAAATATGCAGACAACCTATGCTGTGTAAAAGTTGAGTATATAAGCCATTAAAGGGTGTACACATGAAACTTAAAACCACAAACCACAAGCCATTAGTTTATTGTTTTTAGAAAATATTAGTATTTCCAAACTATATTAAAAACGAAATTAGTATTCTATATATAATTTAAACTAACAAAATAAATATTAACATTTTGCAATTTTCTTGAAAATGTTTATTGTTATAGTAAAATGAAAGATTAAAATTAAAATTAAAATTAAAATCGTAATCCTAATATTAACAAAACTTGATTGTCTTCTTAGGTATACTAAATGTAAAATACCCTTTTTACAAAATAAAATAGCAATCTAATGTTAAAATAGTAAAAATAACAAAAAAAATCATCTAAACAATTCACAATTTATAAAAATGGAGTTTTCTAATATCCTTTAAATTACAAAAGCATTAAAAATATAATGTTTAAGTAGTTAAAATAAAAAGAAAAACTAAAATATCTAAAATGGAATTTCACTTAATATATAAAATAAAAACTTTCTAATATATGAAATGTTATGATAAATATAACTAGTTATCAGATATCCAAGAGTTTTTAAAATTTACTTTGACAAAGAAAGATATTAAAAAAGAAAAGTAATATTCACACAATGGTCGCTTGTGTTTCTTCTTTGATTTTCGATAATCTTAGAAAAGAGTTTAATAAGAACTAAATTCATGATAAAGTGGTAACTTTGGGAATCATGTAACATCAAAAAGGTGGGTTGCTTACGGGTTTTGATTTGTTTCTGATAGATCAAAAGGTAAAAAGAGTTCTATGTAGATATTAATATAATATCCATCTAATATCTAATAAACACTATATATTGTTTGACACAATCTTTTATAGGGAACAAAATCCACGCCTTCATACCACCAATCACAATATGCCAAAACTTTTGCTATTTTAAAAAGTTTATATTAACAAAATTGCTTATCTCAAAATAAAATATATATCAATATCAAATATGGTAAACAAACAAAATTAAAAACATTATAAATATATTAACCTAATATCTATAGAAATTTAACATTTATAATTATTAACTACAAATCTAAAATAATTAATTCTAAAATTGACTTATTTGAAAGAAATAAAATCAATCTCAAATAAGGTAAACTAAACAAAAGTAAAAAATTATAAATGTATTAAATTTATATATATCATAAATTCGAAATTAAGATTTCTACTATAAAACCACCAATATTATGACAAAAAAAAAATTATTATTTCTAGAATGTCAATAATACCAAAAAATATTTCTTTTGAATTTAAATTTCGAAATTAACATAAAATAACTAAGAAAAAGAACAGTTAATTATAAAATTAAGAATATAAAATAATTATAAATATATAAATTTAAAACACGTGATTTTCAAATATTAGATTATATACTATTCGAAATATTCCCAAATAACATATACAATAGTAGTAAGTACAATTTGATGCTATAAATGAGTGAAAGTTTGTACATGTTATCATCAAAAACCAAGACAATATAAAAGAAAATTAACACATGACAAAATGAAAAAGTAGTCTTGAATACCCTCCCAAGTTTTATTTGAAATCAAAAGCCATTGTTCTTTTTGTTCCCTCTGATGGTTTTGTATAAGTGGTCATTTAAATGTGTCATCAGGGAAAGTTACTTGACGGGCAAGAAATTGCGGTGAAGAGACTATCGGAAAATTCAACACAAGGTACTGATGAGTTCATGAACGAAGTTAGACTAATTTCAAAGCTTCAACACAAAAACCTTGTCCGCCTACTTGGCTGTTGTGTTAATGACGCGGAAAAAATGCTAATCTACGAGTACTTGGAGAATCTAAGCCTCGACTCTCATCTCTTTGGTTAGTACTTATATTTTTCACAGTGAACTCTGTCTTAATTTTTGGAAATACGTTAATGGTGAAGGGAATTTGCAGATGAAAGCAGAAGCTGTATGTTAAATTGGCAAATGCGATTTGATATCATCAATGGTATTGCCCGAGGGCTTCTGTATCTTCACCAAGATTCACGGTTTAGAATCATCCACAGGGATTTGAAAGCAAGCAATGTCTTGCTTGATAAAGATATGACTCCAAAAATTGCAGACTTTGGAATGGCTAGGATCTTTGGACGGGATGAGACGGAAGCTAACACGAGGAAAGTGGTCGGAACTTAGTAAGCATATATTAAAGCATATCATATATCCAGTATATTTTGAAACAAAGAGCTTCCTGATAGCTTTTTATATATTTTGTTATTGCGCAGTGGCTACATGTCTCCAGAATATGCGATGAACGGGACATTCTCGATGAAGTCAGATGTGTTCAGTTTTGGGGTCTTGCTTCTTGAAGTTATAAGTGGCAAGAGGAACAGAGGCTTCTGCGACTCGGATAGTAGTCTTAATCTTCTCGGTTATGTAAGCACTCCCACTATTTATATTCGTTTGTGTTCCTGACCCCCAGCCATAGTAATAAGAAAAGATCCTAACGAAGCAGGTGTGGAGGAAATGGATACAAGGTCAAGGCCTAGAGATAGTAGACAACACATCACCAACGTCCAGGCCACGTGAAGAAATCTTAAGATGCTTACAAATTGGCCTCTTGTGTGTTCAAGAACGCGTAGAGGATAGACCAATGATGTCATCAGTAGTTTTGATGCTCGGAAGTGAAGCAGTACTGATTCCTCAACCTAAACAGCCAGGTTATTGCGTTGGTAGCTGCGGCAGTTCTCTCGACACCTATTCTTCTACTTGGATTAAACGGCATGACGATGAATTTGGCACGGTGAACCAAATCACCATGTCCATCATTGACGCTCGGTAATATGATATATATACTTCTTTGATAATTTTCTGTTTATTTAAGTTTTACTAATAAACGGGTTGGCTGGATTTAAATGTCGCTGTGGTGACCTCTTCTGCTCCTATATTTCCTTCTTCCTGTATGTGCTGTCCGTATGTGTGCAAGTCACAAGATGTTTATTCAAGTTACAAGCATATAGTTTTCGATTATTGTACTAATCCTTGTTTTTTTTAATCTGTGTTTTAAATGTTAACTTTGAATATGTTTTATTTAATAAGTAAATTTTATCTAAAAGAAAATTTTAATTTTTTTTTTTTAAAATCTCTAATTAAGAAACTACCATTGGACCGTCCAAAACAGAAGTTTCTTAACTAGAATTCTTAAGCCCACTAAATACATTTTATATAAATAAATAATTATTAAGGATCTCATTTAAGGGGGTGTTAGTGGGAGTTATATTTATATAGAGTTTGTTGATTTTAAAAGTTAATGGATTTGTTAAATTTGAAAGAGTTGTAGAGAGTTTTGTATATTGTAAAAGTTTGTGAAAATAAATTGATATAATGATTCTAAGAATCTAAAGTATATAGGTAGTATTCTCAAAATCTTGTGTTATGAGTTAAATGATGAAGAATACAACTCCTAATAACACCAACTTTAATAGATTTAAAGAATCATTAAAATTTAAACTTTTTGAATAACAATGGATTGTGCATAGAGTTACTAAATCATCAAACCAATAACACTAAACTTTAATGAGAATCTAACAATCTATAAACCAATAACACTAGATTCTAAAATTCTGAGAATCATTATAAATTTTAGTCCCACTAACACCCCCTAAGAGTCATGGGATAATCATGTTCTAAGAGCATGATTATCCCTAGAAACACATTAAGTAAACTTTAATGATTATTTAACTAATAAATGTTAGTTAAGGACCTTAGTTAAGAATCACCTAATTTTTAACCTACAATGGTGGTTTCTTAGTTTGGCTTTATTAAAAAAAAGGTGTAACTATATAACAAATTGCTACCTTATATATAAGCTCGAACAACAAACACACACGAACCTTCTCATTATTAGTATGTTTCACACCCAAACAGCAAGCAAAGCCAAGAGCTTGCAATAAAAGGAAAAGGGATTGTGGTTTATACCTTCTTCCTCCATAAGTTGAAGAGAGGAGTAAGATACTTAGCACACTGCTTAAAACTGGCTACAATCTTCTTTTCTTTAGCAGTTCTCTCCTCTCAGTGTTCTCCACAGCATCAAGCTCCTGTTTCCACTCAATCAACAGCTAAACACACACACAACAATGTTACAGCATGCTCAGCTTTAATGGAGACTCAAAGGCTTCTAGCAATCTTATTCATAAAGAGGAACAACTAACAAATATTACCTTGTAATTTCTTCACAAAGAACATTCTAGTAAATGAAGAAACTAATACTATGAGCGTAAGAAGAACCAGCAGTGGCCTACATAGGACAGAGTTTCAGTCTATGGGAGAAGCAAAGTAGGAAACACTAAATTTGTATGTACCTTTTTTTCAAGAAGCTCAATCTGTAAAGCAAACCAATTTTTCTACAAATAATGAAAGAGGAGGGGGCAACAAGTGCATACAGAAACAAACAACAGATGGGGCAAGATAAAAAAAAAAAAAAACAGAACACACAGATGAGGTAATACCGTAAACATGTTTTCTGCAAAAGCATTCACACCACGCAATAACTCTTGCTTCTCCCTCATTCCTCGTCTTGTGAACATATGATCTCAATAAAAAAAATCAGATCAATAAAAGCATTCACATCACGCAATAACTCTTGCTGCCCATGGATGTCTCGAGCTTGATACCTTTCCAGAGAAGAGACATCATGTTGTAGACTACAAGTGAGGCTCGTCTAGATGGTAGAACAGTGATAGAAAGAAGCGTTTCAAGTCATTGTGCTATGTTCATCACACAACAAGAAATAAAAGTTGAATTGCAATAAAAGGCACAAACTTTGGATTCTTCTAATAAAGTCTCCAGAAATTACATAAAAGAGAAGCCAATTATTGAGGTTACCCTGATGTGAGGGAGAATCGGATTGATAAACGCCGGTCTGAGATTACAGCTATTGACCAATAGTATTTGATATAAATAAAATTTATACTTAATATTTAGCTGAAAGTAAATATATTTTGTATTGGAATTCTAGAATGACATTTTTTATATAACAAGAAAAAATGTTAGAGAGCAACACTTAATATAAACCAAAGTGATTATAAAGTTAAAACATGATAAATGTAATTCTATGTAAATGGTACAGAGTTAAGTGAATACATGCATCAATCAAAACCAACTTGGATCAGTCATATCATCCTCTCTATATTCTTTCTTCACTTGCTAACTGAAATTCTTCTGCCTCCAAAAAAAAAATGGTGGTGACGGGCAGAGAGCTTCAGATGATAAAAACAACGGCCATGCCCATGAAAATGCTATAAGTTATAAGGGGAAAGAATGTGTTTCACTCTGACCGTTCCCTGATCCGACCATTCTTGTTGTACATCGGAAGAAGCCAACTAGACCCATGTTTCCTCATTGCATAACACCGCCAATATAGCACACACAATGCAATTATGCAAACTATAGGAATTGCCCATCTATTCACCAAAAAATACACATAATTAGATAAAGGCAGAGAGGTTGAGAGAAGTTTTGTCATGACTTGTTATTATTACTTATCCAAATCGAGAACGGGACTATACACAACAGTCTCCCAAGTCCCAACGATGAAATGCCAGACCGGGTTGTAGAAAAGAGATTCGGCTGTCCAGAACATCCTTGTGTACGTCTCCAAAAATATGAAGAGAGTCCATGCCGCCATTTCTAACAAAATGAATTTTATAATGAACCGTCCCACCACTACCATTACCAGAGAGAAGGCAACCAGCCAGTTGAACAGCCTGTTATTGTATTCTTTGATGAACAAAGACCGTGCCTTTCCCATCATCTGCACACAAACCGTTCAATGTCACATACTTGTTCTTCCAAAAAAAATCTGATTTCGGTGTGTATATATTATTATTATTACCTTAGTTAATCTTTGCTCATAGTTTTGTTTCGAAGGACCAACACATTGGTGTTCAAAACTCTGGTTGCAGTACACGAAACCTGCGTTGAACTTAGCCATGGAAGGGAGCCGGAGAGCTTGCAAGTGGTCCATGTCGTCTTCACACTTTGTATACAGCGCCTCACAGAGCTTTGACGATTGGTATTCATTTGCAAGAACAAAATTCTTATATACCTGCAGGGTACAAGATAGAATTATCCTTTCGTCTCGTCTCATCCACTAAAATTTTAGCATACTCGGATTCATTCATACCTCCTGCATTTGTTCATCCAACTGATCTACAGATTTTTTGGCATGCTGTCTTCCAAAATGCTGAGCATCAAATGCTTTAATAGCTTCGTTATGTGCTGTTTCATGGGCACTTTGGAGATATTCTTCAGTCATAGGTAGCCGCAGTTTCACCATCTTCTCATTGTACAGCTTCACACATCTCTCAACTATATCTTTATTGAATATTTCAACTAGTGACCCTGTAGATGGAATCTCTCCTTTATTTAGCGCATCCAGTATCTGCAAAACAGAATTGGAGTAGATTCAATAATACGCATACAAGGGATATACGTTATTATTATATGTAACAAGTGTGATTTCTCAAAGACACACTTCTTCTACTCACACAGCATATCATTGTGTTGAGAAATTCAAAGCCATGCAAACAAAAAAAAAAGATAGACGCTCACCTGTTCCAAGAAAGATATAAATTCCTTTCCGTTTAGTGCTTTCCCCTGCACTATCTTTGGGCGGAGAATACTAGCAACCAGCGTTTTCAGTTGGTCGCGCCTTGCAACATAGGTAGGGTCAAGGTCCTCATCCTTAAGGTCACACAGCTTCGTCCGCATGAGGTGGGGCTAAATAACAAAAGAAAAAAAAAGAGCAAAGTTATATGGCGAAGTGTTTAGCAAACAATTTGAAGATAACCACAATATTTTCATGCACAAAAACAGCTGTTGCAAGCATATACAATTTCCCTAACCTGTGGTAAGCTAAAGGCAGTGCTGTTGTCACCCATAATTGCCAAGGAATCCCGGATCCGGTTAACCTGAAAAAAAAAGGTGGATAACTTCTGAGACACTAATCATGATTGCTGGCACAATGCTGAAGAAAGAAAAGAACATACCTGGTCAATATTTTTGTTACCTGAAAAAAGAAATAAAAAATAAACAAACACAATCAATTAAATTAATAAATGGTGTCTAGGTACAACGGTTAAAGAATGGAAAGGGAACTCTGAAGTCTCTGACCATCTTCATTAGGGACGTGGCTGAGAGCTTCATCCACCATTTCCTTCACCGATTTCCCTTCTGCATGAAGTTGGGAATAGTTGTTAATCATCATAAGCGAGAAAATTGCTAGATTGAAATTGATCACAAGGACCATAGCAAAAAAGCATAGTATCTAAGCACTATTATGCATGTTTCCACACAATGCACTTACGCAGAAAATCACGCTGGATAAGCCACAGAAGCTTTGACGGTTCAAAAGCGACGTCTTGTCCCTACATGATATGCAGATCAAAAACAAAAGTTTTGAAGATTACATTGATCAAGAGTAAAAGAAGCAGCGTTAAGGAAAGTACCTTCACTCTATTCAATCGAGTAGCATGCATTCAACAAGATAGTTAGTATATTCATAAAGGCATATATATTATTAACAAAAAGAGAAATGCAGAGTACTATGAAGCAAACCTTCCGTAAAACTCTTCTGCTAACTCAACAGCAAAGGAGAGTCGAGAAATATCAGCTTCTCGGATCTGATGCGAGAACTTATATCAGAAACAGAAATGTAGATAATCTTTTTTATTAACATATTAGTTACTCTATGTTACACATCCTAATTCGTACAGTTTCAGAAATTGTATCAGGTCTTACATTCTTGTCTTATATAAGTATAATGTATCTAGAGACATGAGCAATATCTGAACAAAGACAGAGGCAGGACAAACTTACGGTTTCAGGCAGATTATAGATAAGCACAGAACTCATAACTGTTGCCAGAGCAAATATTCTGAAAAGCCAGCCAAAAATAAATTGATTTAACTATCCAAAGCTTCATAAAACAAATGTCTAAATTTTCGAAAAATGTAAGGGTACCGATCGTCATAAACATTAGACTTTCCAACACTTTCAAATCCTTCAGTGTCGAGGTAAATAATTGAAGTTTTGACTCCGTCAATCTCCAGCTCTAGTGGTGTTCCCCACACCCAAATACCTGTTCCCAAACAAACAATTAAGTGGGTGGATCCCAACCAAAAAAAAAAATAAAGTTTAAGCCTTTCAATAGCAAGTAAAGCATATTTCTATATATATATATATATATATATTCAATTAGAGGACTTAAGGACATTGGTGAAATACCTTTTGTTTTGGTATCACGCATGTGTCCAACACCAAATCCTGACGTATTTGAAAGTAATGTAAGTTAAATATGCAAGCAAAAAAGAAAAGAAAAGAATATGTAGCATCAAAAAGTTCTATACACAATGTCCTGATAAATGCACCTTCATAACAGGAAAGGGAAAGAAGCTGATTGAGTAGAAAAGATTTTCCGGAACGGTATGGGCCAATCACCTAATGTTTTGATATATATAAAAAAAAAAAAAAACAGATTAGGTTCAGATAAAAAAAAAAAAGTAATATAGATAAGCAGTCAAATATCACTCATACGGCAACAGCAGCAATGGGAGTAGTGATTCTGCTAATGGCTTCCAAACCTTGTCTACTAAGCCGAAGCTTTGTATGATTTGGATCAGGTTCCACTATAGGAAACCTGCATTAATTAAGCAACAAGGTAGGAACCAGCAGCAATCAGTGATAATCAATCCAAAAAGAATTTTCACGGCAGCTAGATTTGCTGACAATGAACTGCTACTACTACTACTAGTCTCGCAACAAATGTGGCTCTATAACAGACCTATTACCACTACTACTAGCAATACACAAATAAGGAAAAGAAAATTAATACTACACCAAACCAAACCAAAATAAAAAACACATTTATTTGCATCAGATTGCAATGAAAACAAAACCCATACGTTTCATTAAATCTGTCTACAGAATGCGATCCCGACCAAAGAACAAATGACATTGGTCAGATATAGTCCAGAAAACCAGAACAAAGCTACAAACTTTTTAACCCAACAAAAAAAAAATACAAATCTCGATCAGTCACACTTACGCTTGGTGGAAATTCTCGATCGAGAGAGACGTTTGCAGCAGCAAGAGGCAGAGAGACAATACAAAAACAAACGCCCGACCAGAAATTTCCATGACCCCCCACAGACAGAACACGATCAGTTTTGTATTATTACCAAAATAGCCGTTTCAAGTCAATTACATTGGGGGGGGGGGGTAATTGCGAGCAGCACAGACTCGGAGCAGAAGGGATCTCCGAGTTGGGTGTACGTTAAGAACCGTGCACTCGCAGGCAGCAGAGACGGAGGTGAAACAAAAAAAAAAAAAAAGTTGCAGGAGAAAGAGATATCTTTATTACTAGTTGTTTAGGTTGTGCAACACTGGATTACTACCCTGCTGGATATTGGTTTACTATGTATATATATAATTCAATGTCAAATTACAACTTTACCCCTCTTATGTCCAATATGTGCTGGCCTGGCTTCAGAGGGTAGACTTGTTCTTAAGACCATGGTTAACTGGAGTCATCAGAGTGGATTTTTTACCGAAACTTTTAACTAGAAAAGTTAAGGAATAGTTTTATTTAAGAACTGATCCTTACTTTTTTTAGTTAAGAATTAAGAAACAATTTTTTTAACTTCTATTAAAAATCTCACCTTAATTGTTTCAGATTAATCTTTTTAGTTAGAATACAAAAATCTATTAATTTTGTATTTACTACAATGCTTATTGTAGCAAGTTGATGTCAGCTCTGATATAAATTTCGAGAATAATTTTGTGAGTCAACACCAGTTACATTGAAAATTAGTACCTTTTTTTAATTAATTGTCACATTATATTCAAACAAAAAAAAAACACATTTTTGCATCAAGTTTGAAGTTTCTTTACTCTTAAAGAATGAAAATTAGTAATTCCATATTTCGATAAGTATGATTTGTTAACATCATCAAAACTGTGTATGATCAGGGGGGGAGGCAGAGAGTAGTATGTGGGGTCACTTGACCCCAGTACAATTGGGTAAAAAAAAATTTTGATGTACATTTTTTAAATATTATTGTAATATTTAGTTAAAATTTGATATTTGACCCCACTAATTTATGTAAAATTTCTTTTATGATTCCATTAATTTGTAAAAAAAAAAATTTGTTATAATAATATGTATATATATTTAATTCAAATATGAAATTTATATATTATGACCCCGGTCAAAAATATTTCTGGTTCCGCCACTGTGTATGATATAGATTATTATTATTCATGGATATTGAAAACAATACTATGAAATGTAACGCGAAATTAGTTTATGAATATGAAAAAAAACCCTATCCATATTAATTAGTAAATACTGCAATATTCATTTATTTTGTAGCATAACTTAACTACGAGCCAAGAATGCGCTGGAACCATATACTATTATATAGTATTTTAAGAAAGATTATGATGAAAATCGAAAAGACTGTTTTTTTTTAGTTTGTAAATAGGTGATGATGCCTGGAGAAAAACTGTTCTCTCGCCAAGACTCTAACAACCTTCAGATACGAACCAATCTCCATCTCTCCCCTTCCACTAGCTTCTTCCAACGTACACAACACGTCTTCAATGGCCTTATCTGCCGCCAAGCTCTCCACCACCAACACTTTCTTCTCCTCTTCCATTTCGAACATCTCTTCCACTCCCACGTCCCTCGACGTTGTTGCTTTCATCGCCTTGGGATAGTTCCTCTCCACCCACGTATCCAGAACATCCGCGTCGTCTTTGAGCTTCAGAACATTCTCCTTAAGTGTCTTCCTCTCTGTCTCAAGGTCACTGATGATCTTCCTAACCGATTCTGATCTTTGCTTCACCTCTGTCTGAAGTCTCCAGAGGCTTTCAATCTCTTCCTCTGATCTCTCCATGATTGCCAACATATCGTAGTGAAGACTCGTGACTAATCTATCTAGAGCTTCGGGTCTGGAAACTGAACGAGTCTTTGTCGGGACTGAGTCTGTCTGAACAAACGGGTGGTCATTAGCAAGAACTCTCCTGAGGTTCCGAACGAAGTTGAGGAGATTGCAGGGTGGGTACTCCCATGTCTCGATGTAGTTAGAGTTTGTGAAACCAGAAGAGCTGACGAATGGGTGGTTGGTCCGAACAGGAGTCATCGAGTCAGGAGGGATCACAAAGACAAGAGGAGGAGTCAACGGGTAGTTCTCGTGAACCCAAATGGTCAACTGTACAGCTGTGCTTTGTTGAGGAGTACGTAGAGAGCCATCTAGACGAAAGAGTTGAACTGTGGTTCCGTTGTTGTGGTTGAAAGTATCAGTAGAGAGTTCGAAGTTTGGGATGTCTTGGAGGAACGAAGTTAGATGCTTTCTTATGACCCATTTCTGGTCTGGATCGGTGTAGGACAGAGCAAAAGGACCAGTTGCAAGAAGAGCCTTCTCTATGAATTTTAGTGGAGAAGATGATGATGATGCCATTAATTGAAGCCAAAAAGGTGGTTTGGTCTCTGCTGCTTATGGTGTTCTTGAATTCTCCAGTTTTATTGTTTTATATTGTGAAATTACTTAGATTGTGTTGGTTGGTCAAACTTAGAGAACAAGGGATAGTGATTGTTGTACTGTTTCTTGGAAGTTTACTGTGTTGTCTTTATCCTTTTAGATTATGTGTCATTGTAACTGAATCAGTCATGTGTTTAGTTTATTCTATACATAATTGCTTGGTCCAACTTTTGTGATTATATTCTAGAAACAAATATATTTTTTAGAATCACTTTGACGTTGACTATATAGCTGAAGATTGCCAATTCTTTTATGTATTTTTAAAGAACATTAGTTATTTTTGTTCAAACCAAGTTACAATCTGTGACTTGAGAGTTGAGACCATCCTTTTTCTTGCTCACATGCTTTACTTTTCGTTTGGAATCGCTATACAGATTCCTTGCATATTGCATAATCTGCAGTTTGTCTTCCCGGTCTTTTTGAAGCTCTCCGATCAGCTTCTTTAGAACCTAGTTAATTTGCAAATTACTTAGTCTAAAAGTAAGATAAGAGTAAGTAGTAAGTGCTCAAATAAAATAATGTATCTTCTTACTTTTATTTCCAGCTCCACATATTTTCTCAAACTGTCACAATTTGTAGGGTTACAAACTAGTGTACAAGTTAAAAAAACAGCTTTGTCTTTACACTTGTTTTTCTCTTTAACCTCGTTTAGGAGACTCTGTACGGATCTTCTGCTGTCACTCCTTGTCATTTTTCTTTGAATCATGTAGAGCTAATGATATAGAAAGACAAAATATTAAAAGGCCACACTTATAAGGGGTTTAAGATTAACAAAAATGCTAATATACCTTGCGGCTAACCTCTCTGAAATCACATATTGCTTCACTGTCCAGCTTCTAATTGTTCAAAACAAGTTCAAGGAGAAAGTATATGTTACCTATTATAGAATTGTCTTATATTTGTTTATTTGGAATAGTATTTACATGACCAGTGGTTTCTTCTGTTGAAGGTATCTTGTCAAGAGCCTCTTGCAGTTTCTTAACTAGATAATTGCACCAGTCAATGAACTCTTTAACCGAGTAAAAGAGATTGCTGGCATGCCTTCTCTCATCGTGTAAGCTCTTAAACTGTGACTGGCCACACACACACAGAAGAAAAAAATCATCTCAATGTTTGAGTGGTATGTTTCAAGGATTACATGTGTTACAAACTTACATCTGTTTCTGTGTACTTTTGGCTTGTGTGGAGATAATCTCTTTCCAATTTCTTGAGTCGTTTCTCAGCTTCAAAGTTATGTTTCTTCAGTCTGTGGCCTGTATAATCCATATCCTATTCTTCTGTTTGTCGTGTTTTTGTAAATGCTTTTGTTATTATCTTTACTTTGCAAGTACTCTGCTCTTATATATATCACAAAATCTGAGTAAACATAGTATTAATTTGATTAACGACGATCTTGCTCCCCACGCCAAGGAACAGTATAGTTTCGTCAACGGGATTATCTGAAACTTTAATAATGCTGTATGCAACGTACGTGGCATTATAGGTTTACTTTTTAAAATTGATATAGTAACAAGTACTCAACAGAAACAGCTCATTCTCTTCTCAAATGATATTATGAATGTCTCATAAACATAAAATAGTGACTAAAATAATATTTAACCCCAAAGAAACCATCTTAGTTGGATCAATCTTTCTGATCAGCCATTTTTTGGTATGGATCAGTGTAGGACTTGGCAAAGAGACCAGCGGCAAGAAATGAATTTTCTATGAATTTGATTAGAGATGATAATGATGAGGGCTGGTTGTGCTATTTGTGATGTTCTTGGTTGTTTTCACTTTTGTCAATGAAAGGACTTGAGATGTGCTGGGTCAAGCTTAGAGAATAAGAGATAGTGATTGTTCTGTTGTTTCGTGGAAGTTTACCATTTTGTCTATAACTTCATTGTCTTTGATACTTAAAATCTGAACCTAAAAGACTATTGTAAACTAGGTGAGATGGACCACATTTGTTAACTTTGTGGTCCAGTTTACTAAATCTGATTATGTGCTTCTCTAGATTCCTTTTCTTTCTATATCAGTTTTGTGCCTCGACATTGCATTTGAATTGTATTCGCTTTGGTATCATCTCATTTCAGCTTTTTTCTATACAACTCTCATATTTGCAAACAAAATTAAAGAACAATAGTCCAAAGCAGGCTACTAGCAGTGACAAGATCAACTGTTGTTGCTATAACTATGAGATAGCAAGTTTTAATATCCTATTTGTGTTGGTAGTGTATTTTTAGCCCTCTAATCTCAACCAAAACATTATACAATCTATTCATTCTTATAAGCTCAACAATTCTGAAATGATTGTGAATTATCTTAATAATAACAATAGGTGTAACAGTTAATAGTTACTTATTATAATCCATTAATCTCACAAAGCAAAGACAGAGTCACAAAGTCGAATCACAGTCTCCCTTACACCAAAAAAAAAAAAAGATAAGGCGAGGAGGGGGACACATTGTGATTCATCAGTTCAATACCCTTAACATCAAAAAAAACTATAAGGGACTCGAACACTCCTATCTCTCACAATATAACAAAGCTTCACACAATCTTCAAACACCAAAGTCTATGGAACCTACCGATGCACTCAACATATCGACTGTCTCCTGTTTCTCCTCTCCACGCACAAAACTAGACAGCCACTTTGATTTAACATACTCTTCTCTCCTCCACGGTGGCACATGCAATCCTTTCTTCTTCAAACTCTGCTTTGCTGCTTTAGCTAGAAGCATGATGATCCTCTGCAACCGATCCGCTTTCCCCACAAAGATACAAGGAATCGTTTGCAGGAACGACTTGTAGGTCTTGGTAGCACGAGCGATCTCGAAGTTGGACTTGAAATCAATGTCTATCAACAGTCTTTCGCCTTCGTTGATCACATCCACATACTCATATTCCCCTGTGTTAAAAAAAACAGAGCAAAAAAATGTATTGTAAGTTAACTCTCCACTCAAAAGCTAAGAAATGGCTTTGTCATGATGGATCATACCAGAAGGATAAGAAGAAGATTTCTCCCAGCGAGATTTGCATATAGCCGCGTCGTAACCTAAGCTCACCAACGTACTGACCAAGTTCTTCAAGCAAGATTGGTCTTTACGCTTACTTGTCTCCACAATCTTGGTCACATCGGTCATAAGATTCCTCTCGTAGAGGCTCCTAGAGAGGACCAAACTCTAAAAAAAAAATGAATCCAAATCAGATTAGGTTTCTGCTTTTACCCTTTTATTAACGAAAACCTAAAAAAAAAAAAACATACATACCTTGAGCATCACGCAAGCTTCACCAGAGGAACACTTGACATCATCCGACCAATCAGTTTCATCATCATCATCATCGTCGTCGGAGGAGCTCTCTGTTCCACTCCCGGTAAAGCAACTACAACGTCTACGACCACACCTCTGTTTCTCGCCTCCATTGTTATCTTCCATAAAGTTTACAACCATCTTCGCTAAACAGACCGAGCTCGGCTCAAAATCTCCGGAGCTGCCTCTAGAAATCGGCGGCGGTTCGGTGGTGGTGGTGTTTTTGATACTGAACTGACGCTCAAAGAGACGCTTCAAGCGTGACTTGGGCATTTGCTTCATCGTAGGTGGATCTTCCGGTAATACATCGACCGGTTGGATCTTCGTATGAAACGGCATTATGATTAAACAAACAAAAAAAAGTATGGAATAGCTTTGAACTTTGGGTTAAGTTTGAATATATATTTAAAAAAAAAAGGGAGAAAGATTGCTTTATTTTGAAGTCTTTAGATACGGTAATAAAGTCTACGAGATTACGCGACGCGAGAACGTTGTTAAAGGCTTCTTGTGATCAGTTACAACGACAAGGAGATCTGGTTTTGCAAAAAGAAAACAAAAATCTTTTATGATCTGAAACGGAAGAGAGGACAAAGGATAAGCTTTGTGTTCGGTTTTTATAAAAAGGAAGATGGATTTGATGCACACGTGGTTGTCCTACGTGTCAAAATACCTAAATCTGAAAACGGTCATGGACACGTGTTGTGAGATTTACGGTGTTGATTAAGATCCGAAGCTTTTGTTTTTGAATAGTCGAAAATACCCTCAGAGTCCTTTCTTCTAGAGGACGTGTCTGCGACTCCACTTGGGCCGGAGTCTGTTGTTAGCAGAGATCCTTCCGGAATAAGTTGAGGCGAAGAATAGAGTGGATGACGGAATTGCCCCTCCGTATTCGTACAGTTGTACGTACTTTTTGCCTTGTCAGGGTATATTCGCCTATTATTAGTAGAGTATATTCGTACACTCGTAACTGTGTCTTGTACGCATTGCAAATCTCATCGTCTAAATTTTGTTAAAACTAAAACGAGGTAATCGTGTCAACACAAATAAGATTAGACGAGAAAATCAACGTTGATAATATTGCTAAACTAAACTGATGCTTATAAGTAGACTAAATCAAACGTTTGTTTTAAAAAATAAACTAAACGCGCGTACAGGATAAGTTAAACAAAGCATGTATTGGAAAAAAAAAACGCCATACCAAACTCCAAAATTTCAAAGCTATCGCACATTTTTCAAAGGCAAAGAGTTTCAGCACATGGGAGAGTTGGTGCAACTGCTGCTTGTTGTCTACACGGCATCTCTTCTCGAATACTTGATTGCTGAAGTCACAGCACGTGTGATCTTCTTATCAGCGAATCAAAGCCCAACTAACTAATGCTGGAACAGAAGTTTGCTCTCCAGTACCTGAAACCTCATCAGATAAAGATCTTGAGATCATGTTTTGATTGAACTTTTACATACAAACTTGTGAAAATAAAATATTAGAAAACATTTAACATTGCACATATAGAAAGCCTCATCAAGTACTTCAGCGCATGATAACCTTGTGAGAAAGAGTTCAATTACTTATCATGATAATTATCCGTACAACTTATCATATGATAATTACTTATTAGGTACAATCTTTCTGTCTCTGGTTGAGACTTAGGTATGTGGATATATAAATAAGCAAAACAAAAGTTAATGAAACAAGAATACTATAAGGTTGTAATTTTTATAATTACGAAAACAGTTTTAAATAACCTAGATAATGTGAGCATCAAACATTTAGTTTTGCTTGCAGAACACTTGGAGAATGGAAATGAAAACCTGAAAGAGAGTACGATTAGCCAACAAAATGATAGAGCTCACAACATATGATCTGTAGATCAACAGATGCCTGAGCAAAGTCACATTACACCCAAAACTAATAAATGTCTGACTTTCTGTAGTGATCATTTGCATGTAAGCTATACTATTCCACGTCAGGGGGAGAGAGATAACTTAGAGCACCTCTATAAGTGACGATGCTAAATTGAGGTTCATATTAGTTAAATAGTTATATTTTTAATATAAATTAGTTATGTATTTAAATTTAAAATTTAAAATTCAAAATGCTAATTGACTATTGATTGATAAACATATGGAACAAACAAGCAAAGATTGTAGCAATGACATGTACTCATGCGGCATTAGAGAGGAGAGACTTTTTTAAGTTGGGATTCAAGTATGATAACTTACTAATGGAAGAAAGTGCACAGATTTTGGAAATCGAGACTTTCATACCAATGTTGCTTCAGAGGCAAGAAGACGGTCATTCACGACTCAAACGCTGTATATTGATTGGTGATCCCTCCCGTGGTGAAGAATATGGCTTTCCAGAAATATAGTGTAACGCCCCGACCGCCTACGGCTAATGGCCACCCATGCCCGCTCTCTCGGCCCATGGGCCCCATCCCGTTCCAACTATCGGTCCGTTAATTTTTCAAGGCTCTAGAGTCATGTTTACTGACCATACAATCACCACCCGACCTTTCCCCGTGCTTTGGCCTCACTTACACGGTATCGCAAATCACTTCCCAATAGATCACCCATCCTTTGACTACTCTAGTTCAAGCACGCTTAACTCTGGAGTTCTCTCTGGATGTGCTTCCGAAAAGGTAAGTGCACTTTGGTGACATAGGTAGCCAAATCAATTCTCTTAAGCCTTTTCCAAATACCGGGATGTTACATATAGTCACATGGATCAGAGTCTGTTTACGAGGTTTGTTCGTCTTGGTATTCCATATATTGAGCTTAATGCTCAAGGAAGAGCCAGGCCAAGCTTAGCCAAACTCTACAACTGGAGATACAGAGACTTGGGAGACCTTTCCATTGTCAAGGAATCACCCATCTTCCATAGAGCAAATGCTGGCTTCTCATATGAGTATCAGTTGATTAATGTGCCTGACTACGAAGGGAAAGGAGAGTCAACACCATCTCCATGGTTTTATCAAAATCAGGGAGAAGCTGAGTATATCGTCAGTGTCTATATATACATGAGGTTTCTGGGATATCCTGCTAATAAGATATCAATATTGACTACATATAATGGGCAAAAGCTCTTAATCCGTGATGTTATCAACCGTCGTTGTGTTCCCTATTCTTTCATCGGCCCGCCTAGCAAGGTAAAATATCCTTCTCGTGTGATAATGCATTGTGTATTTAATGTGTCCCAAATCTATTTTGGTTTATTGATCGTCTTGATTTTATTATTTCCTCAGGTGACTACAGTGGACAAGTTCCAAGGACAACAGAACGACTTTATTTTACTGTCTCTGGTAAGGACACGCTTTGTTGGACATCTACGGGATGTAAGAAGGTTGGTAGTTGCAATGTCACGTGCTCGGGCTCAACCTGAGTGAGAATGCATCAGCGTATACAGATCGTGCGGTAGAGGAAGTTGGAAATCCTTACCTCGTTCATGATGTTGAAGAGATGGCACACATAGTTCACGATAGGATGAACGAGTTCTACAAGGTAACTACGCAAAACTTGCTTGGATAAATAATTTTTTTTGTTTGGAAAGTGGTTTGTTTTATGTGTGTTTTTGTTTTCTTTTGGGGGACAGGCACAAGGCGTGTATGAGCAATACCAGAATCACATGCCGCAACAAATTGAAGACGGTAATCACGATGTGGAGAGTGATACAATTGTTGCGGAAGATGGTGAATCTGAGAAGAAGATGCAGCCAGAGTTAGATGGTGTAGTTGATGAATCATCGAAGGAGACGGTGGGAATGGAAGTAGACAATGGAGTTAGCAGTGAGAATTAGAATCAGATTCAAACCTTGAGTTTTCATTTCTTCTTTTTCACCTTTCATTTCAGGTAACTGGTAGAATCACTGTACACCTTAAAATGTGTTTAGATTTTACAAGTTCACCGATACAATACTGCTTTCTGTTTCTCTATTATATGAAGGATCAATGTTTTATTGGTATTGAGGTAGTGCATATGATGGATATGGTGGGAGTCACTGTTGTTGCTCAGAAACTCGTATAGAATCTGATACACATGTTCAAATGTTGGGAAAAGGAGAAGGAACTCAAACTTCAAAACGATACCTTGGCACATGGATGTTAGGCTCAACAAGCGATGTAAAAATGTCTATATTGTTGGATAATCAGGGTTCAACATGCACGCCTTGTTTTGTCTTTTTTTTTTTAATAGAGATCTTGTTATATGTCTTTCAATCAAACACAAGGGAGCATGTCTATAAACAATACAATCCCATAAGACACGGATAGCCTTTTTCACTCTTTGAAGTCATCTTTGTCATCTTTTGGAATCGGTTGGTTTCTCCAGAACACAGCTAAACCACTCCCTCCGAGCTGCACAATGCAACCAAACATGATTACAACAGTATGCCACTAAACATAAACTACACTTGGTTCACAAACAATACCAATGAAAACTTACTGCCATACAGACGACACTAACTGCAGAAGGAACAGCCACTAGAGGATTCGTGAAATGCTTTTGTGCAAGCAAGAACCCCAGCGCTGAACTCTGTGGTTTTTCAAAGACAATAAAAGTGTCTTAAAAAAAGACTTTCTACCAAAACAAATGGTAATATACTTATTGGTGTATGAGAAGTTTAACTTACTTGCATCCCACATTCTATAAGTAAACTTAGGAAAGAACTCATTAGCCAGAAACTTAGGAAAGAACTCATTAGCCAGAACTGTCACACAAGTAAAAGAAGACTATAATAGTCCATAAGGAATCATAGGCAAATTCACTGTTCTAGAAACACTGAACCACAATACTTTACCTCCAACTATAGTAGGTACCAACACTACTTGAAAAGTGCTAACAGCAAGTCCCTGATGGCAAGAAGAAAATGATTCATACATTGTTATACAATTCTATTTTGCTTTTTTTTTCCTAGTTACAAAGAAAAAAACTCACAGCAGCATCAACGGGAACAAGCTGGCCAGCAAGAAGCTTAGTGAGAAGAGGAGTCATTATAATAGCTCCTATGGTTGAACACCTACAAATTAGACAACATATTATTGAGAGGCCTCTGACCATATTCAACAAAAAAACATGTGAAATAGAAGTATATATATACGTTGTCATGAGCACAGAGAGTGCTACATTCCCCTTGGAAATGTAGGTTGCTACATTTGAAGCCTGTCCTCCAGGACAGCATGAGACCAGGATAAGACCAGTAGCAAGAGGTGCCGAAAGCTTAAGAGTCTATAACACACAAAAAAAGTTTGTAATGTTATTAGTTTGGCTCCTCGACAATCATCAACAACAAAACAGATGATGATTAAAGGGAAGCAAAAACCATTGCGATGAGGAAACCTAGCAAAGGCTTAATCATATACTGTGCAAGAAAACCAACACCTACCTGCAGGAGGAGTCTAAAAAACGTTAAAACGGGTGGTAACACATCTCACAGAGAGAAATAATTACACAGCAAGGGGGACATAGGACTCTCACTGTCCAAGGATTACGTAAACATCTTCTGAAATCTTCAAAGGTAAGAGTTAATCCCATGGAGAGCATGAGAAACCCAAGACCTAGAGTGAATAGGTCTGTTTCCAACCATGTAACCTACATAAAAAAAGACACTTGAATCTATTAGCTTCAGGAGAAACACATATTGGTCTAAGATTAAACAAATACCAAAGATGGCTTGAAGATGCCAACAAGTGTTCCCAAAATAACCTGCACACCAATAACAACAACAACAAAAACAAAAACAAAAAAGCACATTCACCATTTTGAGATATCAAATGAAAAATAGAGTTGAGTATAGAAGGTAAGTAAGGTACCCAAAGTGGAAAAAGAGTAGTCAAAAGCTCAATAGTTTTCTCGTACTGGCTAAGCTCCTTAGGAGTACTACTTTCAGGTGCATCGCCTGACATGTCTGTAGCAGCATTGCAAGCAACTCGTCTGCTCCTGTAAAGTTTACAATGAAAACTGTGAATAAAAAAAGAAGCTAACTTAAAAGAGCAAATTAGAAATACCTGGAGGAGGAAGCTGATTCAAGAGCAAAGACAGAGCATAATGGTCTACTACTGTTCTGAATCCTCAGACTTATTCCAGCTTTATCAACAGGAAGCAACTTGAAAGAATCTGAAAACACACACAAAAAATGATTCATCAGCAAGAAAAAAAAAAAGAAAAACAGAGACTTTGTGGAAACTATGTGGATCTCTGATGAGTTGTATTATTACCTAAATGAGTTTGAGGTTTCCTAGTAGGAGCATGAACCCATGAAGGGCAGTGAGTTAACCTGCCATCTGTTGGCAGAATTCTAGAGATAGATGCCATGAAAAAGGGTTTTAAGGATCACAGAGAAAGGGAGAGACTTTGAAGAAAATGAGTTACAAAGGGAGAGACTTTAGAGATGATGATGATGACTCCAAAGAAGTAGGAGGAGGAAAAGTTTGTTGTGTGATTTGGTGGGAGATGATGAGAGCCACACTTTTCTTTTTCATTTAATCAATCTGCAAAATATCTGAAGAAATAACAACAACAAAAAAACAAGAATAAATCTTTTACCATTTTGATTAGAGGTGTTGACTGTGAAATTGGAATTGCTTGCATGACCCGTTGAGTTTTAAGCCATTTGGTGACGATACGGTCGTTCACACGTGCCTTTCAACAGAGTGTTGTCCACGTACCACTCTTGCTTATTAAAATGTTGGGCTTTTGTTTTGCTTTCTTGAGGCCCATTACTAACTTAAACCCGAGATCTAAATCAAAGATAAATAATACTACCTCAGTTCCACATAAAATGTTGGAAAACAAATTGTTTCATAAAAAAATGATAAATTCAAAATCAAAAAAATTTGATAATTTTTAATGTATTTCATTAATATGTATCATAAAATGAAAATATTATATTTGTAGAACAGAAGAAGTATAATATTTCATGATAATTTTTAATGTATTTCATTAATATGTATCATAAAATGAAAATATTATATTTGTAGAACAGAAGAAGTATAATATTTCAAATTGGTATATGGGATTTTAGATATATTCTGAATCTGATCCAGTTTAAAATAAATAAATAATCAGAAAACACTAGACTTAAAGATTGGAATTAATATTCTAAATAAGTATTTAATATATTTAACTTTATATTTATTTTATCTAATCGTAAATTTGCTGTTACTAAATTATTTTAAATCTAAAAATGTAGAAAGAATTATAAATTGTACATTGCACATACGTAAAACTATGAACAAAGAAGATTAAGAAATTAAACCCAAAAATGAGAAAACTCACTCCGATCCAACATGTATACATACAATCCATTATTAAAGCTTTAGGTTGTGGCTGCCCTGATTTGTATCTAAAATAACTAACATTGTTATAAATATACAACAAATATCATAAGAAAATTCAAGAACCAAGAGTAGTTTGATTATTTTTATAACATTTCTCAAACCAGCGATGAAAAAAAAGTTTTTTGATACAAGTCACCACAAATCACAATCCAACCCAAGAATATTAAAAAAAAAAAAAAAACAAAGATCAGATGTTGGAGCCAAGCAAAGTGAGGAGGAAGTCCTTGTAGTCTCCAGAAACATCACCAATAATAGCGTTATCCATGCTTGTATTGTACATGTTGAAGTACTCTCCTCTTGCTTTCATCAGATCAATCTCAGCACGCATCACAATAGCTCTCGTCAACGAGTCTTCATCTGTTCCAAACCCTTCAATGGAGTCACTTACAACCTGTAAAAAACATAAAACAAAACAACACACAAAAGTCAAAGGAAAGAAGATAAAACACCTTTGTTGTCAGTATTTTTACAAATACCTTTGCAAAGTGTTTCTCAGGGAAATCAATGCACAAGATCACCATCTGCAATAGACTTTTGAGTTCCGCATCTCCTGGACATCCATCAACATCCTGTCCATAGAACAACACACCATCATCAAGTATTCAAGAGACACACAACCCTTTTTTTAATACTAGGAGGTTCGGCCGAATCCCATAATTCCACGAGTCTCAAAACTAAGACTCCTCTGTTTCAATTTATTTGTCATCGTAGAGAAAAAAATTTGTTTTAAAATAAACGTCTTTTTATGATTTCAAGATAAAATCTATTAACTTTATCTGCTATTTTATTTTTTCATGTGTTGGAATGTGGTTATGTTTATAGGTAATGATGTTTTTATATAGAAAATATGCAAAATTAAAGGTTTTTTTAATCTCTGTGAAAAAATCTAAAATGACAAATAAAATGAAACGGAGAGAATACTAGTTTTATTCCAACAGTCACTAAAACTTGGAATCTCTGACACAATAACACAATGGCCAAAAACTAAATGAAAGCCAAACTAACCTTATCTAATGTGTTCCCATAACTCTGCTTGTAAGCAACAAAGGTTGCTCTAAGCTGGTAGATACTGCGAGTTCCTAATATATAGAGAACATGATCATGGCCTAATTGCTTAGTAGTGATGGCTTCACGTATCATACCGGCCTCAATAGTAGCTACTTCTGTATCAACCATTTCTTTGTCATATCTAAAAGAAGTTGCCAAGGTCACCAGTAACTGTTACACAATAAAAGACACATTAGACTTTAAAAGCTTCTCATGACAACAATCAAAAAAACTCAAAATAAGGTATACCTTTGCAAGAGGGAAAGGAACAGAGGAAGCAATGTGTTCTTCAAGAGATAAGTCAAAGAGAGAACAATAAGCTTTCCTCACAGCAATCAAATGGTTTGGTGAAGTTGTGCAAGAGATCTCGATGATGATCTTCAGCTTATCAATGCTTTTCTTTTTCCCATTCAAGACGTTGTTAGCAAGCCTTGCGTCTCTTTCTGCTGGATCATAAGTCCATAAAACCACAGCTTTCTGCAAATACAAGCATTATGTTTACGTGTGATACAAGGCACAAATAATCTTTAATCTCAATGTTAGTACCATGAAATCGCCAGAGAGTTCAGAGGTGAGAACATCGATAAGATCTTTGCCGTAAATCTCTCTGTAACTCTCTCTGATTCTCTTTCTTTGGCTCTCGTTTCTTTTTCCTAAGACGCGTATGATCGCTTTCTCGTCTGTTCCCCATCCTACAAAGACAGAAGTCACAGAACAATACATTTGGTTTTGTGAGAAAACCTCAAACGCAAACGCAGAAAATGATGGTAACGTACCGCGAAAAGCTTGGTTGAGAGTTTCGGAATCTTGAGCTGGAGAAGGAACTTCGTCTGGTACTCTAATGGTGGCCATTTCAGAGATGTATTCCTCTCTCTCTTTTAATTTTGTTATCTCTCTTGTTTTTGTCTCAATCCGTTATTTTACTTAGGTTGTAATGTTGTAATTAAGGAATCTTATTTGACGTAAATACCCCTGAAGACGTTACTGTAATAATAGCTTTTGTTTGTTTTGTGACTTCTGTCCGAACGGTAATATTATTACGAATTTCGAAGAAGAGATTGAATACGCGACGGTCAAACATTAGTTACTCCATCCGTTTCATATTAAATGTCGTTGTAGAGAATTTTGCGTTACAAAATAAGTGTCGTTTTCGGTTTCCAATGCAAATTTTATTAATTTTATTATGTAATTAGTTTTTCTATTGGTTAAAATATGGTTAGGTGTATAGGTAACTGTATTTTTATATAGGAAATATGTAAAATTAATTATTTTCTTAATCTGTGTGCACAGCTGTAAAGTGACACTTATAATGAAACAGAGGGAGTATTATATATCCAATATTACCACTTAACCCACCACCAAAGAGCTTCTTTAAATAATGTTTTAATTATGAAAACCTGCTTAGTCCAATAATCTAATTAAGTATTCATTAATTTTTTAACTAAAGTTTAAAGCCCATTAAATATAATATATTATCATTTATATAGATTAGTGAAAACAAACTTACAAAAAAATTGACTTAGTACAAAAAATCCTCATAATTTATGATAAAATAATTTTAAGCCTAATTTGAATTTAAACAATTCCCATTAATCAGAAAGACATGGGCAATTATATCTCTACCAGATATATACTATGTTCTTCTTGTTTTTATTTTTTATTTCTAACCAAGAAACATTTAGGTAGACTATAATTTATATATAGCCTATTTTTTTCTTCTATTAGTGACATTCACATTCTAGCAAAAGAAAAGGAGAACTTTTAAGTAGTCAATATGTCTGTTTATTTGACATATCCGTATATAACTAATAGATTTAAGAGGATACCGAAAATAACGGGATCTTATGACTAATGTTAAACCAAACCAAATCAAAAGAGATAGCGAAATGCAAATCATATATAGACAGAGCTGTTCTGTCCCCTCTAAACTATTGCAAGTCGTCTCTTCGTGTAAAACGTGATCGAGTTTATGGGCACGGACGTCTTCAAACAACACACACTGACGTCATACAAGAATTCGTAGCTCTTTAGTAATATACTATTTAATTTTGTTTACCAAATATTTATTTTGCGATAGGGACACATGTAGGTATGCCAATAATAATGTGGTTGTACAACCCCGATGACAGATATGCAGCAATGGTTTTTTATTTTAAAACACCATGTGAATGTGTGATGCTTGATAGAGTATATTAATAACCTAATCACTTATTAGTCTCGCCAAGGAAACGTGATGGAGGCTTATTATCTACCCTTTGAATCAATGAGAGACAGTCTGGACGACATAATGAGAACGCATCAAATTTTAGTTAAACAATACATTAGTTTTTAGAGAAGAAGAAGAGCTTGACATGATCTTCGAACCCTATTTTATTTATTTCTGTGAAAGATTTATGATCTTTTTGAACATTCAGCCCACGGACCAAATTATTCAATATTTTTTCTGTCTTAATCTTTTTATCCAAGAATCATAATATAACAAACAAAGCCAACAGATGAATGCCCTTTTCTGATTTAAAATCCAGCAACGTTATACATGGAAACCTCTACAACTTAATCGTGTCATCTGTTTATTGTAATTGTTATCTGATATTCGTTTAAGATGGAGTCACGTAGTTGACTTTAATTACTATTATTGATTGATTATCTGAGATTCGACCTATTCAAAACCACATGGATCTTAACCTTTCTGTATCGTATCTTAAATATTATCTGCCAGAGCACATGCAGATGTCACTTATGATTAGTTTTTGTTGTGAATTTCCTAAATAAAAGTTTAGATCACGACATAAAATATGTAGTCTAATGTTTCGTGATAATGTAATCACTGAAGTACAATATATTAGGGAATAAGTCTCCCACATCAAAAGTTAAATTAAAATGATCCTAGCAATATACTATAAGATAGATGAATCGAATTAGAAACCAATATATATATCTTAACGTGGGAGACATAATATAGTCTCTAATACAATACAAACTCAAATCTAGTACATGTTTTGACAAAATAAATAAATAAATGATACTAGAATACGACCCGCGTTAAAACGCGGACAATGTTTTTTTTTTTAAGTTTACAAAGCATGCAAAACAAAACTATAACAATTTTATTATATTTTATGTTCAGTTATTTGGGATTTGTCTATTCTTAATGATGGTTCTAATTTTATTTTCAACAACTATCTTATATGTTGATAATTTGGGTAGAAAACTATGTGTTATCAATTGTTTAATTCTAAACCTATTATACATATTTTATATAGAATAAAGTAAAACTTTAACTACTTTATCTTTCTCTAAAAATATATATATGTCATATGTCTAAGTTACTTTATATACCTTGATTAGTATAAGTGCAACATATCTGTACAAATATCTAACGGTTGATCACCAAGCTCATTGAGACCAATATATTATTCAGTAAGTTAACGAAATGTATGTTGAATATTAAAGTCATTTAAAAATATTTCTTTTAAATAAAAAACTGTTACTTACTTTAAGATCAGCAGAAATCTTAAATGAATCTTCCACCGTAAATCTCTCTACTAATGGTATCATATAAGATATTATAAAAAGGATGTTTTTACATTTAGTCACAACCTATTGAATAAGTCCAAATATAAAAGATGCCATGGTAAAATTCAAATAGAACCCTAAATTAATAGATTAGATACCTAGAAGACAATACATACAAATGAAAACGGTTAAAACTTCATCTTCTTCCTTTTCAAAACCTCATTTGATATTTTACATAGCAAAATAAAGTTATTTAAACATAAATCGTAAGAATGTGTCACGTTTTACCTAACTTATTTCTATTTGATCATAGTGTTCATACTATATATAACATATGTATCTTTAATCTTTAGCTATTATAAAAATAAAATTTGAAATGCTTATACCTTTTAGATAAAAGAAATTATTAAAGTTTTATAGTAGTTTGAAACGCAAAGACAATACGTAATTATAGAAACGATGATAGTGTATATACTTCAGACCGTTTTATATAATGGTCAAACTAATTAAATCAGTTAAAACCAAAAAAAGACAGTAAGTTTTAATATATCTTGGACTACTGTTAATTCAATTTGTGCTTGCAAAACAGTTGTTTAAACTTACAAGATGTAAATAATAAATTTCGTGGGCGTTACATCTTGTTACAACAATGCACCTAGCGTTTGTCTTAAATCTGAACACAGAACTATTAAACTAAACAAATACTTATGGTTGTACCGAAAACACCCTTGTCTCAGTAATCCGCATCATATATAATGACTTGTGTCTCTTCAATAGCTCTCCACAAAAACCAAATCAAAGCTAGAAAGAATAACATCAAGATAAATGGCTCACACTATCGATCTCGAAAGCATCGTTGAAGCATTCTCAGGTACTTTTTAAAAAATCAATCTTAGTAAATCAGTGAATGTCAAATTTGTGAGAAAACCAAGAAGCATTTTGAGGTTTAATTAATTATTTGGGATTTCATATAGGAAAAAATGTAGGAATGGGAGTTGATGAGAAAGCATTGATAACAACACTGGGAAATTCACACAAGGATCATCGAAAGTTGTTTAGGAAAGCAAGCAAAAGTTTCTTTGTGGAAGATGAAGAAAGAGCTTTTGAGAAGTGCCATGATCAATTTGTCAAACATCTCAAGCTTGAGTTCTCTCGTTTCAATGTCAGTTTCTTCAACCCTTTACATCTTTCATTTTATGGCTTTTCTATTTATCTTAACATTTTGTTACTGTATATTATAATATTTTGTCTTGGCAAAAGTTACTAGTATTACTATTAAAATTTTTTAAAAAGTTATTTCTATTTAAATCTTTTTCGTTTTTTTTCTTAACCCTTTCTACTTTTTTTTAACCCAATAACAAATTAATTATTGTTTTAAGTTGAACCTAATAAAAGTACAAAACAAACCATTAATTTCAGTGTAACAAACTAAAAAATAAAAAAAAATTGTTGAATTTACCTAACTATTAACATTAACTTACTATCCATTTGTATAAAGTGATTTTGCAATATGGTTAGAGATGTAGTTGTTTGTTACTTGATGAAGAATCTAGCCCTATACTACTCTCAAGAACTTTGATCAAATACTCTGAGATTCATGTGCATTGATCTCAAGATTAATTGGCAATATGAACTATGATCAATTGTTAGTATACATTGGTCCTTTGACGTTTCCTAAGGAAGAAAGAAGTAAACCTTATTACTCGATAGAAATGATGAAAGTTAAGTATGTGATGTGTAGAATGCTGTGGTGATGTGGTCGATGCATCCATGGGAGAGAGACGCGAGGGTGGTGAAGAAAGCCCTGAAGAAAGGAGATGAATGTTACAACCTCATCGTGGAGGTGGCATGCACTCGCTCCTCTGAGGATCTCTTAGGCGCACGCAAAGCTTATCACTCACTCTTCGACCAGTCTATGGAAGAAGACATTGCCTCTAACATCCACGGCTCTCACCGCAAGGTCAGTATATAGTGACATTCTTTCTTACGATACACCCTCCCACACCTGATCTCTCTTCTTACTCACTGTCTCTTTGTGTTTCTGTGCAGCTTCTTGTAGGCCTCGTGAGTGCTTATAGATATGAAGGGAACAAGGTGAAGGATGATTCAGCCAAATCTGACGCCAAGGTCTTGGCCGAGGCAGTGGCTACTCCAGGAGAGAAAGCCATGGAGAATGATGAGGTTGTTAGGATCCTCAGCACAAGAAGTAAACTTCATCTCCAACAAGTCTACAAACACTTTAACCAAATCAAAGGCTCTGATCTTCTTGGGGTAACATTACATATGACTCCTTACCCTTATTATAATACTTATGTAACCACATGTATACATTTTGTAATGTGTCAAGAAAATCTTGTGGCTTGATCATTAGGGTGTATCTGACTCTTCACTTCTCAATGATGCATTACTTTGCTTGCTCAAACCCTCTGTGTACTTCAGCAAGGTAATAAACGTATATATTGTTTTTTTTATAACACGATAAACTTATTTGGTTACACATGTATCTTCATATATAAACTTCTAATAATTTATTTTAATAACGACAAAATAGTTTTTTAATAAAGTTTCTCTTGTTTGGTGTTAGATTTTGAATGCGTCTTTGAACAAAGATGCGGACAAGGGTACGAAGAAGTGGTTGACAAGAGTGTTCGTTACGAGGGCTGATCACAGCGAGATGAAGGAGATCGCAGAAGAGTATAATCAGCGCTATGGTGAGACCTTAGCCCAAAATATTCAAGAGAAGATTAGAGGAAACTACAGAGATTTCTTGCTCACACTACTATCCAAATCGAACTGATCTCGTTTGAGAAAGTTTTCTCAAGGCTTTTTGTTGTTAAACATTTTGAATTCCTTTTGGTTTTGTGTTTCTATTTCAACATTTTCGTTTTCAAGACCATTTTATTTGATTTGATAATAAAGAGTTCTTGTCGTTGGCGACATGATTCCGCGAGAAAAGAAGAGTGTGTTCATGTTAAACTCAGTTTACTTTTATGCACATAAATACGATATCATATTCATCTGTTAAAAATGGTTAGAGATAAAACATAGATTCACTTTGCACCTCTAAAACAAAGATCAAGAGTAACACATGTTGGGGGAAAAAGCTCATGAGTTACAAAATATTAAAACTTGTCAAAGTCTATCATAGTATAAAAGAAAATATGTTATACGAGAACACTCTGAGGGCAGTGAGGGTAGTGAAATTACATATGAAGGGTGATAAATAGACTGCTCCAACCAATAAAAAAGTTACAATCTTTTTTTTTATTATATAAAATATCTAAAAAATACAAAAAAAAAGATTTCTAAAATTTTGATAGAAATAAGCAATTGTCTGAATTAGAATTATCTATATATAATAACTTACATTCACATACTATTTTAGGTATTGTATTAAAATAGGAAATATGTCTGATGATCATGTTATCAGATCAGCTCTCAAACCAAAATACCTGATAATTACAAATGAATTATCTAAACCGGATAAAAGAAAATTGTCTATATCTAATTACTTACAATTCATCACATACTATTTTATTTAATGTATTAAAATAGAAAATCATATATTATTCTAAAATATGTTTCATGATCATGTTACCAGACCGGCTCTCCAACCAAAACACCTAATAATTTCAAATAAATTCCTAAACCGGAAGACGGTATGAATTCCGGTTTACAGCTTTGGCATAATGCGCTCGTCAAAAAGATACAAAAAGGCACCACGTGGTTGAACAATAGTCCCCATCGAATCTTCCTCAGACGTGCACTCATTTGATTCCCATTTTGTACCTTTTTTTTTAATATTCTCTCAAACTCTTTCTCAAAAGCCATTGGTGTCTTTCTCTGCTGCAATCACAGATCCGTTTTTGTTTCTCTGTTTCATCAAAAAATGAATGGCTCCTCTGATCTCACTCCTTCCGAGAGGTACACTTTTTTAATGTTTCTTGATCCTACTTTCAGACTCAATGATAACTTATCTATCTATGCATGATCTATGTCTTGTGTCTTGGTCTCCAACATTCATGGCTCTTGTTACAATCTTTTCTCCTTATATTATCAAAGACAAAAACTGAAATCTAACTGATAGATATAACATAAGAATGGTTGTAATAATTTTCTGCAAATTTTATCAATCCGTTTCGATTTAGGCATCCGAAGTTTGATCTATATATTGTTAAAACTCTGTTTGAAGCAGCAAACCATCGCTCTCACAACTTGCTCCTTTAGAAGCCATTCTCTTTGATGTTGATGGAACACTCTGTGATTCTGATCCCATCCACCTTATTGCCTTCCAAGAACTACTTCAACAGGTTGTTACTTCATTTTTGAATCATATCTTCAGCTTTGGAACCTTATTATATATAATACTTTACTTACACACTCAAGTTCTTGTCTTAAATTTTTTTACTTTCTTGAATCATTTCACAGATTGGTTTTAACAATGGTGTCCCAATCGATGAGAAGTTCTTTATTGCCAATATTGCTGGAAAACACAACTCTGAGATAGCTCTCGGTCTCTTCCCTGATGATGTTGCTAAAGGGTTAAAGTTCTGCGACGACAAGGAAGCTCTCTTCCGCAAGTAAGTCAAGCCATGTCTTAAAAACTTGCTTCATTATTAGGGCCTGATCTAGAAATATTCCAATAAAATATTGGTTTTGGTCCTTTAATTTTTTTAAAAATGATATACATAAATGTAAGCTCCTTATTTCTGAAAGTTAAAAAAAGAAAAAGAAAAATTCTTACTATTAAATTTGTTCCCTAATTTTTTCTTTTAAAATTATATACATAAATGTATGTACCTAAATTATGAAACATCAAAAATTTTAAGGTCCCTAAAATCTCAAATTCGGTCCTGTGTGTGAGTTAACTTGTAGTAACTTTGTTTTTTGGTTTCTCTTATGGATTAGACTTGTAGCAGAGAAGGTAAAGCCACTTGATGGGCTACTAAAACTAACCAAATGGATCGAAGACCGTGGACTGAAACGAGCTGCTGTGACCAACGCACCAAAAGAAAACGCAGAGCTCATTATATCAAAACTTGGTTTAACTAATTTCTTCCAGGCAGTGATTCTTGGTTCTGAATGTGAGTTTCCCAAACCACACCCGGGGCCTTACTTGAAGGCTCTTGAAGTGCTTAACGTGTCGAAAGAGCATACGCTAGTGTTTGAGGACTCAGTCTCTGGGATAAAAGCTGGAGTTGCAGCTGGAATGCCTGTGGTTGGATTAACTACAGGTAATCCAGCAAGTGTGTTGATGCAAGCTAAACCTGCTTTTCTTATCGAGAACTATGCGGATCCAAAGCTGTTGGGTGTGTTGGATGAACTTGATAACAAAGGGAGTTCTTAGAAGTCTTGAGGAGCCTACACACGCATGAGCAGACCTTTTATTTTTTATTGCATATTCTGCTGGGAGTTTATGACAATGGGAGGAGCTTCCAAGTTATCAAATTTAGCTGTCTTATTTTTTACTATTTTCTTTTTTTGACGTATGTAACTCTTTACATGCTCAATAATACTATGTTTGCTTACCTTCAATAATGATCCTATTATTTTTTTTTAATGGTAAACACATACATTTTGTCAATGGAAAAAAAAATTAAAACCTATGTGTTTTATTTGGTTATGTGATGACAACTGAAGATGTGTATGATCGCTCAGTAGAGTAGAGGGTTATTAAACATGTTTTTCTATGTGTTTAAATATAGTGGTTAATTAGAAAAATGTAAAAGTTGTGACATTCTAGAGCATTAAGGCCTAATGATGCAGTGATAGTCAAGTTTTAAAGTTCCCCCTTTCACAGCTTAATTCTTGTAGAAATTTTCACAATATGTCCAAAGACATACACTCTTGTGGTGGGTTATATCACTGTTGCTGTTTCTAGGGTCACCTTGAAGGTTTCGTAAGTAAAAAGGTAAATTTAAAACGACATAGAAAGTTCAAGGGTTTTCTTGCAACTTTCACCACTTCTAATTTAAAAGCCCAATAAAAGCCCAAGTAGCTTCGAATTTAAAGGCCCAAGTAGGGTCGAATTTAAAAGCCTTTCTCTTGATCGGAAAACTGAGAGAGAGAGAGAGAGACCAGAGAAGAAAGAAACATTCGAGCTGCGATGAGTTCTGGAGGAATCGTGTCTGGACCAACACCACCACCAGCATCAGCTCCATCAAGTGGAGGTGGAAACGTGGAGTGGCACGTGCGACCAGCGAACCCTAAAAACCCAGTGGTGTTCTTCGACGTGTCTATAGGTGGTATCCCTGCAGGTCGTATAAAGATGGAGCTTTTCGCTGACATTACTCCCAAAACTGCTGAAAACTTCAGGTCTCCTCCCTCTTTAATCACTTTTTCGTATTTTAAGATGATTCTGATTAATCCTTTTGTGTTTTTTTTTTTTCTCAACTTTCAGGCAGTTTTGTACCGGTGAACTCAGGTTACATTCGAATTTATTGAGGGTTTATTGGTTTTTTGGATTTAGTGAGAGATGGGCATGTTTCAAAATCTTGTCTTGGATTGGATTTGTTTGCTTCTTTCATGGTTTCAGTTTAGAGTTTTTGTATTGTTTATGCATATGGCTTGTACGGTTGCACCTTGCTAGCTAAGCGTAGATTTAATTGTTTTTTGGTGATTAGTGGACAGCTCTGAGTTTATTTTTTGTTTTTTTTTGGCTAGTTAAAGGTAATCTTTTTATCTATGTTTGAGTTTGGATTTGGTGTATGTGCGTGCAGAAAGGCTGGGAAGCCTCTTGGTTACAAGGAGTGTCAGTTTCACAGGGTCATCAAGGACTTTATGATTCAGAGTGGTGATTTTCTTAAGGTCAGTAAATAAAGCTTCAGGTTCAACTAGTAACTGGCTCTGTTCCTTTGTTCGTTACTTGATTTCTTTTCTTCTTACTAAATGCTCATCATGTTGAACTCTTCTGCAGAATGATGGTAGTGGATGCATGTCAATTTATGGCCACAAGTTCGATGATGAGAATTTTACTGCCAAACATACTGGACCTGGACTGCTCTCAATGGTATGCAAACCATCTTTCTGAATTTTTCTCCAAAAACTTGGAATTGTTTCCTTTCAGTGCAGTGAATATGTTGAATCTGTTCCCAATTTTTCTTTACTGATGAGTCAAACTCTGTCTTTGCTATTATTCTCATGACCTTTGGTCACTAATATTACGGCTCTCTTTCTTTTGTTGTAGGCAAATAGTGGGCCAGACACAAATGGGTGTCAGGTAATTTCAGTCTGGCCTTATTTTACATATGACAAAGTGTAACAAAAAAGAAAAATGTTGATAATGGCTGTGATCCTAATCGAATTTATAAACCTTAAAGGTTTAGAAATTATGTATTTTTAGTTGCTTGGTTGGGCATAACAATGTTATCGTTTAAGGCTAATAATTACCTTTGCTCTTTTGCATTGCAGTTCTTCATCAGCTGTTCAAAATGCGACTGGCTTGACAACAAGCATGTTGTCTTTGGGGTATGTCCTCTTTTCACATACACGTGTAGTTTGTACATGATTGATCCAAGAAGCTTTTCAATTTTCTTCCATCGATTCTTAGTTCTTCCTTTGTGGGTTATAGCTGAGATTGTGTTAGTAGTAAAAACTCTTAAAGCCATAGATAGTTGAGGAAGAAGCACTGAGTCATGAACCATTGTGCACATAAATTGGTAACAATGTTGTTGTGACTCATTACAACTTCTTCCTTTTGATGTACAGAGAGTGCTTGGAGATGGTTTATTGGTGGTGCGGAAGATTGAGAATGTGGCTGTTGGACCTAACAACCGGCCTAAGCTTGCCGTTGTTATTACAGAGTGTGGAGAAATGTAAAATGTTTCTGCTCAAGGAGGAATGTAATAAGAGCCCAAAAATTGTTATTTGTAATCCTTACGCATTGTGACAGAAGCTAAATCCCAATATGGTTATTGAAAACAATTATAATTTAGTATTTCCTGGTTATAATTTCCCGAAGAAAAGCCTCTTGTAAACTTTGGTTTGAATATGAAAAACTTGTGAAATTTGCCGCTTTATATTCATACCTACTAATATCTGAAAAAGAACTTCATTAGCAGAAAGTAGCAGAAACCAAAAAGAAACACATTAGAAGTATCTCTTAGCTCATCAGCATGTAATGTAGCTTAAGTAGAACCGTAAAACCCCCCTCCCCTCCTTCGAGTATCTATCTATCTTCAATCGTCTTTCTGAAGAGCAACATAGTTCAGCGGAATCACAGCATTGCCTCTTCCGCTGTCTCTAAAACCTTTGCCACCAGAAGGTCCAGGTGTTGTCCCAATCCGTCGACCAACTGGTGTTTTAGTCACATTGTCTGTGTTAAGACTCTGTCCCAATGGCTTCTTCTTTGCAGACTTTGAACCATACTTTGCTTCTTTCTCTGTAGCTAGCTGACCTTGTAGTCGTTTCTGCTCCTGTTTACGCAAAACAAAAACAAAGAGCTTTGTTTTGTTAGTTCGATAACACAGTGATTGTCTATAAATCCATGTTTTGAGTAACACACATACTCGGAATTGACGCTTTTCCTCCTCTCTTTGAGCACGCAAAACCATTTCTTCTTCCAGTGTTTGTAACAACGGGTGCTAGATCGAAAATGAATAGTACAGATAAGTTGAATCAAACCATAACAGAGAACTGAGTAAATTTACTGTTAGTTACCATATCACATAAGAAGAGGACTCCTCTTTCTTTCTCCCAGGCTTTCACTTTGGTGGTCAGACCATCGATCATTGCTTGCAAAACAAACACAAGAGGTTAATGTCAAGTTTTAGAACAGATTTCGTATAAACATATATAAAAAAAATCTACAAAAAACGTCACTGTGATTTGAATCAGGCACTGACTGTTACTACCTTCACAGTCTATTTACCCTAACAAGTGCAAGGAAAAACATCATAACTTCTAAACATCTAATAATGAGTTTTGGAGTTTTGGCTAAAACGAATGGTCGAGTTACAGAGTTAAACACTTCAAATCCTCTTGTTGAAATGCTAATAATTTGGTATCCAACAGAAGAGAATATAAAAATCTTGGAATGAAAAGAACATAGATTACTGAAAACTAATCCAAAGGGATATCTAGTTACCAAGTGTTGTTTCCAGAAAGCAACATATTGAAGTCAGAGTTACTTGCATTTACCAAGTAATGCATGTATAGAGACTCACCAGGAATTTTGCTGATAAGGCTCCTAGCTTTCTCCGCGCGTTTTAAATTTTTGTGCGCTCCTCTTACAGCACTGAAGCGATTTTCATCCTGTTAATAAACCAAATAGAAGTAACAAAGAATATCACATACGTATACAAAGCTAGGTTGCAGGAAATTCACACAAACTTAGATATTTTCATCAGACAAATGCTGACAGTCACCTTTTCATAGTCATCAAGCCATTTTTCTTCGTCTTTTGCGTGCTTCAACTTATCAACTTTGTCCAAAATTTCCTTTCTGCTTATAGCTTCCTCTTTTGCATTCTCAATCTGAGCATCTAGGGTTGCCAGAATATCAGACAGATCAGCATCACCTGCAAAGGAAACCTTCGTCACTGCACACTCGATGAAAGATATTCTTTAAGGTCACCTACTTATTGGCTCTCTTTGAGCCAGAAAACTTTGGCTTGAGCTCCCAACTTTTCATATGTTTGCATATGCTTCCCATAATGATATTACCAAGGCGTATAAGTATTATATCTCTGGGGTTTAAATGCACAGCAAGTGCTTAATTAATTAGTCTGCCTACTGGAGAGGAATATATATGGTACCAGAATCAATGAGGTCTATAAGACTCTGTCTTGCAGCATCGCTATTGCCATCCATATGAACCTCTCTGCAGATTTCTTCTAGTTCATAATGCCTCTTCAGAACCAATTCCTTCATTTTGCTAGACTTCAGGGCATTCAGTCTTTTCACTTCATCTTCAGCCTATGACCAAAATGTTAGACTTAAGGACAAAGTTTGATACTCGCTGACTCGGAGACATCAAAGCAAATGAGTAAGAGATGTAACTAAATATAGAAAATATGATCTCATTACCTCTCGGACAATATCTAGACCGAGGCATCCTTTTCCCAAGGTATCATCAGCTTGAACAGAAAGTAAAATACTTAAGTTGCCAAAGCTTCTCCTCTCATCCATAGGTGTTTCCATCAGGTTCCACAGCTCCTCCATGGTTCTTCCCAAACCTTGTAGCTGAAATAAATAAGAATCTCAATGTATCAATCTGTACAACTTATTCTTGTTTTCCAAAAAGTTGGGAAGTATTGTTTGCTCACCTTAAGCAGCCTCTGATGTTTCTCCTTCTTCAGAGACTCTACAAGTTCTGCTAATCTAGCAAGAGTATCATTACTAATGCTTTTCGAAGCCCCAGTCAAACTTTTATGGACATTACTCAGGGCCTTAGAGAAATCGAATGAAAGAATCTCTGACAACTCATGTACAGCACTGATATAAGAGTTTACTTTCTCTAGTCGAACAGCCTGAAATCGAGAATAAAAAAATAATAAGCACATAACCATAAAACTCTCTGTAACATTAATAAATATAAAAAAATAACCTTTTCATTACGAAGATCCTGAAGATGTGCTCTAAGCTCATCCAACTTCCTTTTCGTCAAATCACTCCCATCAATTTCCAAACCAGAGCTAACAGGACAATCATTCCCAGCAATGTTAGAAGAGATCTCCGCTATTTGCATCACTATCTCAGATATTTCTCTCCATCTCATATCCTTTTTCATCAACAGTTCTTCCAACACAGGCTTCACAGAAGAGATCTGTTCCTTCAAAGAGCCTTCTTTCTTCTCAAAACAGAAACAATAACACACATTAGACGAAAAAAAAACACACACACAATCTAAACGAAACAAACATGTAGCATACCCTTGAGAAGGAGACTTGTTCACCAAGTGCAGACACGATGCTAGCGATCTCAGCTTCAGATTCAGCTAAGGAACGTTGTAACTCAGCTCTGTGCTTACGAGTCCTCTCAACTTTCTTGTTGTATATGTCAAGACATTCTTGCTCGAGTTCAAGGAGCATCTTGTCTCTCTCGTTGTAGCCTTCACCAATCTCATCCCATAATATCTACAATATAAATAATGGTTGGTAAATAAAAAAAATCAAATCTTTCTTGCTCAATTCCACAAAACAAGAGACAAGAAGCGATAACGAATTCAAAAACGGCTTCGGATTGAATCTGATCAGAAGCATTAACCCTAGAAAAAATCGAAATTTGGTATTCGATTGAGTAATCGAACCCTAGAATTGGGGAAGTGAGAACCTGTAGTTCTTGGAGAAGGGAAGTGCAAGTGGTGGTGGTTGAAGAAAGAGACATTTTCTTCTTCTTTTTTTTAATTCCGCCGGCGCCGCCGTGTAGAAGCGAATTTAGAGGATTGGAAACCCTAGAAAGGCGTTATCAAGATCCCGAGAGAAGATTGTGTTTGAAGGAGGAGTTAGTGTGTGTGCATGTCAGTTTTGGAAAGAATGTCTTTTTGGCGGTAATTTAGAATTTTTTTGTATCCTTCTTCTGTGGATAATTGTGTGTGCACTGGAAATTCCAAATATTTTTTTTTTGTTATATATAAACCTTTTCAAAAAAAAGACAAAAAAAAGGTGAGAATAAATATCCAAAATATCAACATTGTTAAAGAATAAAGAAGAAGGTTGTAACTCTCATTGTATTATTAATCACGTGGTTACACATATATATATACATACAAGAGAATAAAGCATATTCCTTAGGAGATAAGGATTGCTACAAATAAAGGGGATGATTATCCTAATCCTATAATGATTAGGATAACTACAACATATGGATAAATACAAGGGACTGGACGTGTG